AAAAAAATTGACTTGCATCTAAGTTGAAACTTTTCTTTCGGGCCAAATGGATTGACTAACTATTTATAGAAATGTAACAATCCTTTGGCAGACTGACATTTTGAAACAAATAACGTTATTTTCCCTGTTTATTTCTCTTAAAGGTTTTGCTTGCACCACCTTCCCCGGTTACTCAGACAGCGACTTTAATAGGCATGCTAGAGAGAAGATGTCTAATGCTCGGAAAGTTGGTGCTAAAAAATAAGTAACTATATGTACCTTATGCTATGCTTCCATAAAACCTTTTTTGTGTAATGCACAAAAAGACGAAGCAAAGAGACCTGCACTTGCAGCGTACAAGCTGGGACTCTGAGGACCTTTAATCAGCAATCTCTGTACTTTCATAGTAGTTATCTGGCCAGTTGATCGATTGTGAAGCATTTGACTTTACACAGGAATTTGACTTTGCTGTTGATGGCTTGCATCTTAACTCTTTGGCAAGCAAATTTTTGCAGATCATCTTCGCTTGTATTTATCAACATTACTCTCACCCAAGCCCCCTTTCACCTTGCAATACTTGTACTCCGAAATAGATTCCTGTTGAGCTTTTAACTCCTCAAGAAAAACAACTCATGGAAGACATGCAAAGGGGAGGTATATAAAAAGAGATTATATGTAGAGAATGATGATGGAGTTGGATTAAGTCATAGGCATACGTTGCCTACCCCTTACCGCTAAACCGACATGTACCAAATAGGTTTTCAGCTACGATTACTTATTCTAATATCCATGAAGGAAAATCCATAAGGACATCAACTCTTCATCTCCTTGGAGTCCACAAACAGAATGTTCTACAGAAGAAGAGGAGTAGGAGACATTTTGATAAGCGTTTCACATCAGACTACCAGTTAATCAGCAATACTTTATTTTTTAGTGTTTCTGATGTATGCATAGAAGGTATGAACATAATTTATTCCTCACCATTAAGGCACAATTTTTTATTTGGAGATGGATGCATGTACCTACTTTCGAATATTATTTGATCAATGTGACACTCAAGGGATATCCCTTAAGGAAATTGAAAGAAGTAGACGTGATAACCTTGATGAGAGCAATTCAGCTAATATTGGAAAGCATCGATGACATTGTTCCACTGCCATGTAATTGGATGAACTTTCTGAAAATACGAAGAAATAAGCATGCATATTTGTTGAGACCCTTTCTGTGATATCTTCCATATCAATTTGTCTAGGCATATTACTTCTTCAAAGACATGCTTTGTCTTTTTAGAGATAATGACATTGGGCATTGAGACTTCATCTCATCTCTGCAACCAAGAGTGAAGACGCTTTATAAACGCAAGAATATCAATGATAATGCAGAATTATTTACTCTCGTCAAAGAAGGGGCATTTACACTGTCTTCCAAACACGCCAAAAGATGCCAAACCGGAGCCTGACCGCGATGTTACCAAGGGCAACTACGCTTTACCGGCAGACATGCTCGCAGTTGTAACATCGTGATGTTAGGCACGTGACTTCCGGCACTTCCGGATTGTTACCCGCGCTCTTTTAAACCACGTTCTTCCTGTCTGATATCTGTCTAGATCTAGTAGTATTTGAGTGATTTGTTTGATTAATATTTTCACTATGGAAGTGAACAATTCCCATTGGACTGATGGTGAGGTGAAGTTTTTGATATCGATGTGGAGGCAGGGAGAGCTCCTCCACCAGACTTCTAAGCGTCCTTCCAAACGTGGGGAAAAGGGGTTCAAGGAGATGAGTGACAGCATGAAATCGGCCGGGTATTCTCGGACTGGACCCAGATAAAGAACAAAATTAGAGCTATGACAAAGAGTTATAATGAGACGAATCGGTATAATAACAGAAGTGGGAGAGACAGGACGAGTTGTCCCTTCTTGTTCTTTGTTATGGATGATGGTTTTTATTGTTATCAAATGTATGCCTTGGTTTATTTTGACAGCTAAACTCCAGAACTACAGGGGAAGTCCACCTACCGCTACAGGAGGTTAGGATGCTGCCCTCAACATCACAGAGGGCACTGGTTAATGCGTTGATGGAACGGGTGTTTGGAATGGAGGTCCTCCAGACTCATTCGTTAACAGGAGGCAAGTGTAATGCACAAAAAGACGAAGCAAAGAGACCTGCACTTGCAGCGAACAAGCTGGGACTCTGAGGACCTTTAATCAGCAATGTCTGTACTTCAATAGTAGCCTCGCCAAGTTATCTCGCCAGTTGATATAAGAGAATTTATGTAGAGAATGATAATGGAGTTAGGTTAATTCATAGGCATATGTTGCCTACCCCTGTTAAAGACTTACCCTTAAACCGACATGTACTAAATAGGTTCTCGGCTACGATTACTTATTCTAATATCCATGAAGAAAAATCCATAAGGATATCAACCCTTTATCTCCCAGGAGTCCACACACAGTATGTTCTCCAGAAGAAGAGAAGAAGGAGACATCGACGGCCAGTTCGCCGAAAAAGAAGAAGGAAACTTTTCTCTGTAATTGTCACCCTCTTTAATATTTTAGGTGCTGACAAGCTGCAGTGGCTAGATGACTTCAAGAGAGGGAACACCCGTCTCATCGAAACATTCACCCCCTGTTCAAACAGACCACCCTCCTGATGATGACTATGATTTCACATCTCTGCCTGTAAGATTTCAGTTGTTATTTCCTTTTTAAATAATTTTAATTGTTGAATTGTTCAGGCACTTCAAAGAGAAGAGTCAAGATGCATTTCCACTCCAGGGAACCTGTAACACTAGTTTTAGTGAGCAGATTTCTGATGTACAGGAGCCGTTATTACTAGAACTTGCTAAAATATACTGAATGACTTGAAATGCATATCTTTCAGGTGTCAAGGTCAACACTCCAGAGCATGGCGAGCAGGCCACTGCAATGGAGGTACGGTGTCGGGGGATTGGTCACATCTGCGGGTGTTGCCTCACATCAACGTGCTGGAGTTTTTGGCAGTGATCTATATGTTCTCCATCACTTTGCCATCCGGTTTGTTCGTCGGTCGGTTTTGATTTTGACGGACAATGTAACTGTGGCGGCTTACATAAACCGGCAGGGCGGCACCCGGTCTGCTCCTCTGGACCGGTTGGCCGCGCAACTATGGAGTTGGTGTCGTCAATTGGACATTACACCGATATAGCTTCTTTCATTCCCGGTCGGGAGAATCTGATAGCAGACTTCCTTTCTCGAGGTCGGTGTCTGCCATCGGAGTGGACGCTCCATCCGGCAGTTTTCCAGACGCTCCTCTCGACCTGGGGTCGGTTGGACGTCGACCTGTTTGCCTCGGCATTGTCTCATCGGCTCCCGAGGTATTGCTCCCGACATCATGAGGTGAGAACCCACGAGGACACCAAAAAGTCAGCATATGACGCCCAAAGAAGTGGGAAACCAGTCAATAGTGTGAAAGGCCATAGTTGGTTTCTCTTTGTCCCTAAATTTAATATTATAGAAAATGTGGCAATAGAGTACATGCACGGGCTTGTATTAGGCGTAGTAAAACTGCTAGTTTCATTGTGGTTTGACTCGTCCCATCATAAGGAAGCCTTTAACATTTCAAAAAAATTGACAAAGTTGATGAACGTATTGCTCAAATAGCACCACCACACTGTATATCCAGGATGGCAAGATGTATTGGGAGCCATTTGAAGTTCTGGACGGCATCGGAGTATAGATCTTTCCTTCTATTTTATAGCATCCCATGCCTCATCGGGATCCTCCATGATGAATATTTCCAACATTTCTTACTATTGAATGAGGTCTCATTCATACTGCTTTCACACTCCATATCCTCTACATGTTTGAGGAAAGCTGATAGATTACTTAAACACTTTTGTTTAAGGATAGAGGAACTGTATGGAAAAAGACACTGTAGCTCTAATGTCCACAATTTACTGCACTACATACACAAAGTTGAAGCCCTTGGGCCATTATTTGCAAGTTCATGTTTTCACTTTGGAGATTTTAATAGTGACCTGGGTTCATTGTTCCACGTTACACGCAGTATAACTGAACAAATTATTTCAACAGTCTGTCTACAACAGGTCATTCCCAAATTTGAAAGTTCTTTCCCTTGTGGATCACCCCTACATGACTTTTTCATTGTATTAACACAGAAGGGCCAAGAAAGATTTGTGAAAGGATTTGGAATGGCATTTTTGTTATTTACATCAATAAATCAATGTATCTACTTATTCTACTTTGGTGAGAAGCAGGCTCGTGACCTGTCCGTTGCTTTTCGCGATGTCCAAAAGCCGGTTCCTTCCTCCAGACCTCGTAAGAAAAGTTTGAAGAGTTCGGGTTCTTCTCGTAAGAACGTCGGCCAGTCTAAGGGCCGCCCTCAGGACTGTTACCCGGTCGAGGAGGAATACCAGGATCGTGGTCGTCCTTCGTCTCGAGATTCGTCTTACCGTGATTTGTGAAAGGATTTGGAATGGCATTTTTGTTGTTGGTATTATGTCAAATTATGTCACATTGATTACTTCTGAAAATACGAAGAAATAAGCATGCACTTTGTAGATATTTGTTGAGACCCTTTCTGTGATATCTTCCATACCAAGTTATCTAGGCATAATACTTCTTCAAAGACATTCTTTGTTTTTTTAGAGATAATGACTGGAAAAAACATTGTGCGTCTTCCTTCAGCAGGGACGGTATCCAGATTGGCCTTAGAAGCGAATCATCTTGCAACAATTGAAGTTGCCCTGGCAATGAAGTCCACAACAACGGGAAAACCCATTGGAAACTGACCCACAAGGGCACCAATAAAATTGACATATTATGCCCAACATCATACTACTATGCTGTTATTTCCAAATTTGCCCTTAGCAATACAGTACTCTATAGTGATCGTTTTACTCGTGCAAATAATCTTAACATTTCATTGGTAAAGAGAGAAGAAACCTGTGTCATCGATATATTAAAGATTGTAGAGGTAGGGCCTACATTGACACACACCCTGGATCGATACCAGTGTCTTGTGGGGTACATTTACACACACCCCGGATCTTTACCATTGTCTTGTGGGGCATAATATTGCATTGTTCTGTGGGGTACATTGACACACACCCTGGATCTATACCATTGTCTAAATGTTGCATCTATTTGATTTTTTCTGTGGGGTACATTGACATGGGCCTAATTTTGCAAAGATATCCATGTTATCTATATAGTTATTCTTTGTATTCCTTTCAGGTGCAGGCACCTCAGTGTAATGTCCAAACTCCACCTGAAGATGAACAATATTGCCCAACTGTTGTTGAAACGGATGACAAAATCCAGACCCCACCTGAAGATGAACAACATTGCCCAACTGTTGTTGAAATGGATGGCAAAATCCAAACTCCACCTGAAGATGAACAATATTGCCAAACTGTTGTGGAAACAGATGACAAAGTCCAAACTCCACCTGAAGATAAACAATGTTGCCCAACTGTTGTTGAAATGGATGACAAAATCCAAACTCCACCTGAAGATGAACAACATTGCCCAACTGTTGTTGAAATGGATGGCAAAATCCAAACTCCACCTGAAGATGAACAATATTGCCAAACTGTTGTGGAAACAGATGACAAAGTCCAAACTCCACCTGAAGATAAACAATGTTGCCCAACTGTTGTTGAAATGGATGACAAAATCCAAACTCCACCTGAAGATGAACAATATTGCCAAACTGTTGTTGAAATGGATGACAAAATCCAAACTCCACCTGAAGATGAACAACATTGCCCAACTGTTGTTGAAATGGATGGCAAAATCCAAACTCCACCTGAAGATGAACAATATTGCCAAACTGTTGTGGAAACAGATGACAAAGTCCAAACTCCACCTGAAGATAAACAATGTTGCCCAACTGTTGTTGAAATGGATGACAAAATCCAAACTCCACCTGAAGATGAACAATATTGCCCAACTGTTGTTGAAATGGATGACAAAATCCAAACTCCACCTGAAGATGAACAATATTGCCCAACTGTTGTTGAAACAGATGACAAAGTCCAAACTCCACCTGAAGATGAACAATGTTGCCCAACTGTTGAAACGGATGCCAAAATCCAAACTCCACCTGAATATGAACAATATTGCCCAACTGTTGTTGAAACAGATGACAAAGTCCAAACTCCACCTGAAGATGAACAATGTTGCCCAACTGTTGTTGAAACTGATGACAAAATCCAAACTCCACCTGAAGATGAACAATATCGCCCAACTGTTGTTGAAACGGATGACAAAATCCAAACTCTACCTGAAGAACAATGTTGCCCAACTGATGTTGAAACTGATGACAAAATCCAAACTCCACCTGAAGATGAACAATATTGCCCAACCGTTGTTGAAACCGATGTGGACTATTGCCCATCAGAGTATGAACAAGATAGCCCAACTGTTGTGGAAACGGATGCGGACTATTGCCCATCAGAGGATGAACACCAATCGGTTGACGGGAATGATGTGTTTTATCCGACTGTTAAGCGAAGTAAAGAAGGGAAGAGAGTTTACAATAAGCATCAAGCATGTTACTACTGCGGTCAATTGAAGACTAAAATTTCCAAGCATCTCCTAGTGTGTCATTGTGACGAAACAGGAGTTGCCCAAATAGCAGCATTGCCCAGAAATTCAAAAGAGAGACAAATCAAATTTGAACTACTACGTAACAAGGGAAACTACTATCACAACATTAAAGTCTTGAACACTTCTGAAGGTGAACTTATCCTAGTGAGGAGGCCAGGGGACAAGGATATTTTTGATCAGGAAGATTATGGTCCATGCCCTTATTGTCTTGGATTCTTTAAGAGGAATGATCTATGGAAACATACAAAGTATCTTTGTCATGGTAAGGATTGTGAAGAGACAACAATATCTGCAGGACAGATTAAGCTGGAATCCGATTTACTGCTAGACAAGGGGTCAGGAGCATCAGCATATGTTAAGGAAGTGCTAGCAACAATGAAAGATGATGACATTACTATGATTGTGAAAAATGATCCACTAATCATTCAACTAGGTAACCGTGAGGGGAGAAAGTGCACGGGAGTAGATTCACAAAAGAGGAAACACTATGTTAGTCAGGAGATGCGCAGAGTAGGGAGGTTGCTACAAAACCTCAGAATGCTTGATCACAATGGGCAATCCACACTGGATCAGTTTATAAAACCCAAAAACTTTGACAGGTTCATAGAGGCTGTGCAAATTACAGCAGGGAGTGGTGAAAGCAAAGAAAGCTCACCGTCACTAGCTTTGAGGTTAGGAAATGCCATATCAAAGGCAGCAATGATAAAGAAATGTATGGCATTGAGGATGTATGATGATAATCCCACATCAAGCAAAGAAAGGGAGCAAGAAGCAAAGAATTTCATGACTTTGAAGAATGCTGAATGGGCAGAGAAGGTATCATGTGAAGCCTTAAATACCATGGCAAAGAGAAAGTATGAGAAGGTAGTAGAGCTCCCTTTATCAGATGATTTGAAGAAGTTCTCAGAATTTCTACAACAGGAGATAGAGGCATGCGAAGACCTGACAGATCCAACAACATATAGGAGATGTGAAACCCTTGTTTTGGCAAGACTTACGACATTTAACAAAAGAAGAGGAGGAGAGATGGAGCAGCTGAAGTAAGTTTAAAATTGGTATTAAATGGGCAGAATGCAAGAGTATCAAAAAGAGTTTTACAACATATTTCAAATACATGTCATCAAAAGATTTTGCTTAAAAAAGCCAAATATGTGCTTTTTCCCTATTTACATAAACAGTATCTTTTGGAGAGGGGTGCATTTATGTGTCTTCAGAGGTTGCAAATTTGCTCTTTTATTTGCAGTTTCTATCAGAGAAAAAAATTACACACTGGAGATAAGGGGGCGCCTCAACAATATGAATATTTCACACATGACTTCAACCTGATTCATCCCATCTGGTACTGCAAGCAATCGGTTCAGGCCACCAAGAAAGTGTGTCTAAATAAAGTACCTGCACTTTAAACTGCACACAGCATTTGGAAATGATGCCATCCATACAGGGCTAAATCTGATTAAATAGTTGGGAAAATAGATCAAGGATTTAATCTTATTTCAAACTTTTTGACTACAAAAAATTCTGTATCATGGTTACAGTGCTCATTTTGTCTCATACAGGAGATTTTAGGGTCAAAAGATAACATATTCCCTTGGGACAAAAAATTGGTGAAAATGTGACTAGTTGTGGTACAAACCCAATTACGGAACAGGCACAAAGTTTGGGGCCACCCTCAGATTTGAAAGAAAATCATACAAAACACTGCATCTGTTATCATTCAAATGTATTGATGCTGAATGAGCTATGGCAGTTACATTACATCACACAAGCATATTTCCAACCGGTTTTGAGTACTTCTGTGAACCCCAGTCGGTTTTTGTAATATATTCAAATTTTATGCATGCCTTAAAAGTAAGAATTATTTTTGACATCCTGAAAGCTTGTCTGATGCTTGTCTGATATAGCAACAGATGATATAAGCAAACTGGATTCTAGCAATTGAATTTTAATTAAAAGAGCAGGCTAAAGGAATAACTTGTCTCTATAATATTCCCGGGAATGAAACATCCGTAAATTTGAATTCATTAGGAAAATGGTCTGTTCCAGTCCGTTTATGGAGGCCTAAGTGACATAAAATCATGTTATGCAACAAGGACACATGCTACATAAATATATAAAGTGACGTCAGAAGCAGAAGACAAGCATTACCGTTGTTTCCAGCAAGAGGAATAGGAAGTTGACTGCTTGAGATATAAGGGCTGATGTGAATTCTGCCAGGGAACAGCCCATCTCATTGACTAGAGTGAAACACAGGCTAAGAGCGACTGGATTGTTGGGATGTTTCATTCCCGAAAACATCATGGAGATGACTGCTCTTTTTAAATGAAATTTAATTGCTAGAATCCAGTTTGCCTATATTATTTGTCAGACAAGCCTCAGACAAACTTTCAACAACAAAAAATAACCTTTGCTTTTAATGTATGCATAAAATTTGAATATATTATGAAAACCGACTGGGGTTCACAGAAATACTCAAAGTCGGTTGGAAGCATGCTTGTGTGATGTAGTGTAACTGCCATAGCCCATTCAGTATCAATACATTTGAATCAATGCAGAATGCAGTGTTTGTATGATTTTCCTTTAAATCTGAGGGTGGCCCCAAACTTTTGGCCTTATACTGTAAGCTTACACACGTGTATTATAATCATTGTCAAAAATTGTTGGAGCAAAATAAAAAAGCATCGCTGCATGATAATGCCACAATTTTAATTTTAAAGCACTGAAAGAGCCTCTTTTTGGTCATCAAGGCCAAAGCCTTCCCCAACCAGTGATCCCGTCCCCAAACCCCTATCACAATGTTAGTTCCTTCCATAGACAAGAAACAACACTTGGTGCTTCAGCACTGTATGAGGGGACTGAGGACAGCATTTTGCTCCAACATTTTTTACAAAGATTGTAGTACAGGTAGGTGCAGTTCACAAAATTACTTTGTACATTCAAATGATTTGACCATTTAAACTGAAATCTTAAATGTGACCCTCCACGACAAAACGACCAATAATTCAGAAATTTTGGTTTTTCTGATTTTAACTGAATATGAAAGCCCAGCTTGTAAGCTTTAAAATGATATAAAACTTGACCTATATGGACTATGCTAACCATCCAGAATTACAGCGAGAAGGCCAGCAAGTCTGTCAATGTGATGAGAAGAATAACAGAGAAAACGGGCTGTAAAGATAAGAGACAATTCAGAGTCTTAACTCTGTCCTATTGTCCAGTGGCAAAATACATCCACCCAAAACTCCCTAGCAACCGGTATGAATCGATTTTCGGGGTGTTTCGCCACCTTCTCTGTATGTTCATTTAACTATATTTTGTACTTGTATATTGTCTTCAAGAAGGAAATAAATGTGAATTCAATCAATAGATTTATCAGATTTCAATGAGAATTGGCACACATCCTGTACACATTGATCTCAATTTCCTGTAAGTGTGAACTTGTTACATAACATGTTTTTTTTTTTAGTTACACTCAGTTGTTTCCAAGCTTTCAGTATGATAAAATCAGACCCCTTTCTGAAGGAATTTCAGAAGTGACCAAAAAAAGAAGTCATTTTAAATCAAAGAAAAGACATGTTTCTGTCTCACTTCTGACCCTGCAATTTAGCCAGATGGTACATCGATAGTTGCTCTTTCAAAAAACACCAAAAACCGAAAATCTACTTTTCCACCCCAACTCGGCTATTTTGGATGTTTCCGTGAAAACTCCCATTTCGACTTATTGGTCGTTTTGTGATGGAGGGTCACAAATTTAGACTTGTTTGGGAAAAGTTCTCAGCATAGAAAAAATACCATTTAATAACCTAATGGCATGAGGCATTCCATGCCATCCAAACCTTAGTGCTCTGGGAATTAGAGGTAAGATAATTCCTTGGACATTCAGACATCCCGGCATTGATATAATTGTTCTACTGATGCTTGAGGAAATCATAACTGCCTCAAGCTAAACTTGTCCAAATGTAAGGTTATGTAGATTTACTCTAAAAAGCCTCCATCCCTCATTGCCTGGCAAAAGGTTTGAGGTGGTCATTGAGACCAAAACATAGACTTTGTATGCAGTCAGATCTTTGTTAGAATCTTAAAGTTACAGTATGGTCTCAAAGAATAGCTGAATCAATATTTTGCTCTGCAGTATCAAGTGTCATTTTAAATCAGTTGTCCTTTTGAAACTTAAGCAATTTGTAAATGTAACCTAATTCTTGTGATTATTTCACAAAACATTCATATTGGTTATTTCTTATATAGACTGAAATCATACACAGAGAGACCAAACTGGAATGCAGTAGGCTCAGGCATAGAAGAAGTGAAAAAGTCCCTATCTCCACTGGAGCAACATCTAATGAATGATCTAGACATGGTTTACACTAGAGGAAAACGTGGACGTAAGGTACCTGTGTTAATTCCTCAAGATTGCAAGGCAACAATGGATAAACTTGTGGCTCACCGTCATGAAGGAGGCATTACAAAAGATAATGTATACTTCTTTGCACGGCCTGGATGTGAAACCTCCCTCCGAGCATCAGACAGTCTTCAAGCATTGGCTGAGGAGGCAGATCTAATGAAGCCTCATCTCATTCGCACAACAAAGATGAGAAAGTACTGTGGGACGGTGTCTCAGATATTGAATCTGTCAGAGAGTCAGCTAGACTGGTTAGCTGATCACATGGGCCACGACATCCGAGTGCATCGGGAGTTTTATAGATTAAACGAATCGACCATCGAACTGGCAAAGGTTGCTAAGCTCATGATTGCAATTGATGAGGGCAAGGCTGGAAAGCTAATAGGAAAAAACCTGGATGAGATCACCGAAGGGGGTAAGCAAAAAGTTCATTTTTAAAACTTGTAATAAAGATTTCATCGAGTTAAAAATGATTACACTGTAAAAATTTGCTGTAACTCATGCAGTAAAATACTGTGATTTACAACAGTAATATGTTGTAATAACGATTTTACGATAATTAACTGTATAAGTACGTTGCTGTACAGTATATTGCTGTAAACATCAGTGTCGTAGAGCATGGGAACAAATATCTACAGTAAGCTAGTGTAAAGGAGCGTGCAAAAAGCATTGTGGGATACAGCGCACATGCGCATTAGGCGGATCGGCTGCATATGCGCGTATGCGTTGCACGTGATTGGCTCCCGCGCTAGCCCGCCACGCCGCGCCGCCATTTTTAATTTTCTGCAAAGATTTGAGCTGAGATATATAGCTGAGCTGGCCGGCCTGATCCTGAGCAACGAATCTGAATCTGTTCTGTTCCTGGTCCTGATCCTCGAGCTGGGATATTGATGACCAATAAGTCAATTCCAAGGGGATCCGAGGTAAGTTACAGATTGCCAATTATCAGAGTCATGATTTGATTTGTATCCCGCTGAAGTGAAGAATTGTCAGACTGTGGAAAGTATAGGGATTGTGTTTGTAATTGTTCCGTCTACGGTATATGTGTACTGTACGTGCTGTGCTGTGGTGTGTGGGACAGAGTCGGTAGTGTTAGTGCAGCACATGACACTGTACTGCAGTACCAGCGTACAGTGTCACTGTCAATGCGATGCCATTGCACATGGATATGCATGCTCACGTTAAATTGGAAATGTCTAACGTCAAGACCATCAAGACTTATAACTTATAGGACACCGCACACACTACGATCGACTACAGCATCAGTCCATCATGAGCACACTGCGTGATCAGTTGAATACGCACAAGTCTAAGCTCATGTAGTGTAGTCTACAGCACGTTACTGAAGAAATTACAGCAAAGTACTGGCAATCCTGCTGCATAGTGTAATTTTACTTAAAAGTTAAAATATGAAATAAAATTACAGTAAGTTACTGTAAAATTACTTAGTATTTTACTGTTACTTAGTAATTTACAGTAAGTTACTTTAAAATTACTGTAATTTACTGTAAAATTACTGTAATTTACTTTTTTGAAGGTCGCAGCGTTGTCATAGCAACCAAATAGGCCATTCCGTAACTGGCAGTAAGTTACTGTAAAATTACTGAGTAATTACTGTAAAATTACTGTAATTTACAGTAACTTACTGCTAGTTTACAGTAAATTACAGTAATTTTATTTCATATTAATTTTGAGTACTTGTCTACTGTAATTCACTGTAATTTTAATTTACAGTAACTGTAGGTTATATCTACAGTAAGTTACCATCAATTTTTACTCAAAGTATCTGCCTGTAAACTTTCCTACAGTAAATCACTGCATTTCTTAGAGTAAATTGCTGTTACCGTAGGTTCTTCAAATACTAACAGTAAATTACAGTAATTTTTGTCTTTAAGGATTGTAAATTTGTTTTACAGAAATCTATTGTAGTTTCATTTACCGCAAATGAATGTTAATTTCACTTATGTAGTAACATTCATAGCCGTGAAATCAAATGTTTTTTTGCTGAAGGTTTCGCATACAGTCATCATCAGGAGGCTCGTGACAACTGGTTATATTTGATGAATTTATGTTTTTCTTTCGATTTTCTTTTGTATTTTTTGTCCTTTATCTTTTTTTTTATTATTCACTTATCATTTAAATAACTTTTAATCTGTCAATGCTGTACATAAAAAGTTATGTGTACGTATGCATATTAAAGGTATTGTTTTCCGCTCTTCTTTCTTGCAGTATGCCATGGATTACTGCTGAAGTCACACAGTGTGCATGCTGAAACACTAATCAGACGGATGCTCTACATGGACATCATATACCCATGTACGTTTGTAAGCTATGTAATCATTCTTCTGGATCATTGAAGCGGTTTTCTGAACACTTTTCAGTCCATAGAAATGTGGTGAATTTCGATTTCCCGTGTGGTGTTCCTGGCTGCAATCGAACATTCAGAAATTATTCATCCTTCAAAACCCATGTGCATAGGGATCATCAACCATTTTCAAGAAAAAAAGATGCCCAGTTTTTCTGCGTTTCTACCTGGAATTGTCCACTCTGTGCTGTAAAATGTGAGGAAATCCATGACATACTTTCTCATCTTAGAGTTCATATCAAACACGGAGTTGAAATACGCTGTCCTTTTGCCAATTGCAAAAAACGTTTTTCAGTGAGGTCGTCTTTTGCGTCACATATATCAAGAGTTCACAATAAGTTAGACCAGATTCAGTTAGACTCAACTTCAAGTGAAACTGGTACTGTGTTAACTGAATCCGCCCAAGAAAATAATCAGGAGTTTCCTGGAAGACTGCACTCAAGTGACGAGGAAAGTGTGACAGATGATGAAGTAGATGTATCCGCTGACTCATTCAAACACAGCTTATCCTTGTTTTATCTGAAGTTGGAGGCAAAATTACTACTGCCCAACTCTACAATTCAGGAAATAATTGACACAGTTCAGGATATTCATGCATTAAGCCAACAAAATTTGATACCAAAATTAAAAAAGAAACTTGAAGGAATAGGAATTACCGATGATGAGGTTACCAACGTTTTAACTTTATTTAAATCTGAGGATTTGTTCAGTGCTTCAAATTGTAAAGAATTTCGATCAGAGTCTACAAGAAAATCACATTTTAAAGCAGTTTTTGATTATGTTTCCCCAACTGAGATATATTTAGGAGAAGATCAGTTTGGCAAACAGCGATTTTGCCAATACATTAAAATTCAAGACACACTAAGAGCATTATTCAAGCAGAACTCATTTATCAAAGATTACAAAGAGACTCATAAAGCTCAACCTGCTTTACAAAGGACCATTCTACGTGATGTTTATGATGGCAGAGCATTCCCAAAAGATGAGCCTTTGCATAAAAACTCAGCAGTAACACTCATATTGTACCAAGATTCTTTCGAAGTAGTAAATCCACTAGGCAGTGGGAAAAAAAAACATAAAATTCTAGCTGTGTATGCTACCCTCGCTGATATACAGCCCTACAATAGATCAAACATTGAAACATCAAACATTGGTGTTGCTCTGCAACGAACAGGATTATAAGGAATTTGGAGCCAGCGCTGTTTTTAGTCGTCTCATCAGTGACCTTCAGTCATTAGAAGATAGTGGTATTATTCTGGATGACGAAACATGTGTTAAAGGTACACTACTCGCAATCGCAGGAGACATTTTGGGGTCTCATAACATTGGAGGTTTTACCGAGAACTTTAGCACAAGCCATTTTTTTTGTCGCTATTGCATTATTCGGAGGGACTCTTTTCGAGAGAACCCACTTGCAACAGGTAGTATCAGAACAGAGGAGAACTATAAACAAGCACTACATCCTACCAATACTGACGAAAATGTGATTGACGGTGTCAAGTTTGATTCCATTTTCAATAAAGTGACAAACTTTCATGTCTGCAAGCCAGGTTTACCACCTTGCCTGGGTCACGATCTTTTCGAAGGAATTGTTTCTGTAGACTTGTCATTGTTCATCTGTAACCTTGTCAAGGTGAAGAAATACTTCACCTATGAACAACTGAACAGGTCAATAACTCAGTTCACTTATCTTGGAAGTGATGTCAACAACAAACCTTGCACAGTAAATGTGAATGGAAAAAAGTTAGGAGGTCATGCAGTCCAGAACTGGTGCCTGTTGAGATTACTTCCTGTGATAGTTGGCAACAGAATAAAGAATCCTGTAGAAGACAACGTATGGCAGCTTTGTTTGAAACTTCGAGAAATTGTTGAGCTGATATGTGCATCAGTAATATCTACTAACCAAATAGCTTATCTCCAGGTTCTTATTGAAGAATACATCAGCGATGTGTGTGATATATTTCCAGAATACTCGCTGAAACCAAAGCACCACTTCGTTTTGCATTACCCATGGCTCATATCTCAGTTTGGACCGTTGATTCGTCTTTGGACGCTACGGTTTGAAAGCAAGCACACTTTCTTTAAACAATGTTGCAGGAAACTTCAGAATTTCAAGAATGTGTGCAAGACACTTGCTCACAAGCATCAGCTATTACAGGCTTACCTTGGTGCAGGTTTCTTGTTCCCTCCCACTTTGATAGTAGAGAAGAGTTTGCCATTTGCAGCAAATGCATGTCATGAGAAGATAAAGACTTGTATCTCAAATTGTAGTTTCTACAGCAAAGAGATGGATGTACATGTAGCACACAGGGTAACATATAAAGGCACAACCTACAAAAAGGGCATGTTTGTTGTTCTTGGTCGATCTGAAGATGAACTTGTTGTTGGTCAAATTGAACTTGCTTTAATTCATATGGATTCCCTGTACTTTGTTACACAGGTGCATAATGCAGTGCGCCTAATAGACTTGGGCGTTTATGATCTTGTTGACAATCCTGGTAGCGACAGTGACCGAGAATTCAGATGTGTGGCTGTAGAGAAATTATTAGACTTCTACCCATTGCCAATGTATAGTGCTTTTGGATGTTGCTTAATACCATTACACCATGCTGTTGTAGATGAATAACATTTTACAAGCAACTCTACCAGCTAGTATGCAGCTCACTCGTCAAATATGTGTATTTGAGAAGATATTCTGAATATTTACATAGAGCCTACTTCTACATGTCATCAAAACATGTTCATGTACATATACCTTTAATAAATGTTTGATTGTTGGATGATTGCAGACACTTTTGCACATCTTCGAAAGGGATCATGGAAAACATAAGGAAGGAAGTCAAGTCTGTGCTACCAATGTTATCAGAGACACTGCTGGATGCTATTCTAGAAAGACTACGCTCCAAGGGGGTTGACACCAGGGATGATCTCCAGTTTGTACAGGAAGATGATATTGTAGATCTGATAAAGCCGATCCATTGCCGTAGGCTCCTTTGTACCTGGAAAGAGACCGGTATGTCGTTTACATGTAAATTAAAAAGTGTATACAAAAAAGAACATTTCCATCGAATATGTTTTTTCCCCCCTCTCTTCCATTTGGTACATGTATGACATAAAAAAAAGAGAACATTTCTGCTCTGTATATCACTAAAATTAGATGTATGTGTCAGTTTTTACTTCAAGCAGCTTCATATGGTTCTTCTTTCAGCCTACATGTATAATTTAGACCTTAAAAGCTTATTTCTTTCATAATGATAATGATGATAAATCATTTCACTGGCACACAGAACTTTATCCATGGCAATCTTCAAAATTATCTTAGGGGTATAAAAGTGATAAAGTATATGGTGTAAAAATTATACAATTTTGCTTTGTTACCAACTATTATGCTAACTTTAGAGCCTTGCCACGGCACAATGACACAGACACAACAAATTCTCGCCTGGTGTTTCATAAATTTCAGTATTCTAGTAATTTTAAGCGCGGGCTGGGGCAGAAACATTTCTCTGTTGTTCCATATTTATAAACGAGTTTTGATGCATTCTAATATTCTTCTGTACAAAATATTTACTTTATTTTCTAGAAATCAATCCAGATACAGTTACTACGCAATCTCGCAGCATTGGAGATGCATCGCCATCAGGTAGCAAAAGGCATGGTACAACCACAAGTAACTGGCCAGAAACAATTGATATCAGCGGAATAGACATGCCGGATCATATTGCAGTTAAACTCGAGGCTGGAGAGCGTCTTTCGCCTACTGAAAGGAGCAATGCAATTCGAGGTTTTGTAAGTTTGATGATGAAACATGACCATAATCCGATAAGATCCAAATGTGATATTGTTGCCAGGAGAATTGTAAGCGAATGGCCACAGAGCTTTTGTGACATGAATGAAGACAGAAGCAAGCTTGGTTCCGGTCATTATTCCCTTCTTGCCCAAATGAAAACGCGTGTAGAGCATGTAAATAGGAACAACACACTGACTCGGCATAGGACCAGTAGAAAGCCAAAAGAAGGAAGCAACAAAGTCACTAAACCTACGGACGTATACGGATGCATCAAATGGCAACCCTCTCTTCCAAAGGGAGAAACGTTGGAGTCTCTCGGTGAAAAAAAAGAGTCGCTGAAAGACATTTACACGCAAAGAGGCTCAGAAGAATCGTCTACAGGTGAAATTGACATTTTGATGGATCACACTTATTACCTGCAGAGAAAAATGATAAATGGAGCTCCACTTCCAGTTAGTGAGCTAAAAGAGCAGTGGCCTTATTTATTTGTTCCAGAGTTCTTCCAGAAGCACTTCAAAACTCTAACAGGTATCGATATCGCCACATCACTGCTAAAGTCACTTCAAGAGAAGGGGCTAACTATTCTCCGCTTTCTTGCAAAGGAGAAGTGGGAAGATCACAACAAAGTTCGGCCACTTATTCATCAGGTCGTGGCTGAAAAGGACGCTGTCGATATGCACACTGTTGCCGGTGCAGTTATTAAGGGGATGATGAGCTACTTCAAAGAAAAAGAAGACTCGCTTATCCTGAATGGAGATGTAAGATTTCAAATGTTGCATTTCAGTATTATTTTGTAACTTACTGTACTTTATAAATCTTAAAGGGAAAATTTACTTACAAAGTTGTGAGAGCTCAGCACATGCAGAATAATGAAACAAACAAAATGACATGAGTTTGAGCACAATCGCACCATCCTGTGGAGAGTTACTGTGACACCATTAATTCTAACGGGCCATTAACTAGGCAACTCTGTTTCTAAATGTGTATAATTAATATAAACCCAGAACAACTCTCAATATGGGTAGAGTACATAAATTTCACTAATTTCCTTACCCTGAGAGATCAGTTATTTGTGTGACCTTGACCTTTCATGAAAGCATGCAGAATAAATAACGTCCTAATATTAACTTAGTAACAAACACGTACATGTATACTTATGTTTTTGGTATGTAGTGTACAGGGCCTACATGTATGTGGAGATGCTCTATTGTGACATCACAGATTCTGGTAGAGTTGTTAATTTGAGAAAAACCTGGGTCCATTCATGCCATAGGATTTTAATGGTTACGAACTTAAACTTTGGAAAATCATAGCTCTACACTGGATAATCGGAATTTGCACAAATGTTTTGTCTTTTGTTGAATTTTTTTCTGCATTCAATAAACTTCCCAAAATTTGTAAAGAAACCTCGACCCCCTTTAATGAACTGAATGGAGAAGTCGCTGAATTTAAATGTTACTAAAATTACTTTAATTTCTCACACCATTTATTATGAAACCATTAATGTTTGTGCTTAACACCTGATGCTTTTAATATCAAATCTGAGAGGACATTGTATAATCATTTTGAAACCTGAAGATAGACAGGGATATATATGTCAAAATTAAATAATTTGAGGTGAAACGCCTATGTGATGATTATCATCGCTTGATATAAATGTTCTTACTTTTTTGTCTATATTTTTAGGTGACTGCTACTCCTGAGGAGATTGAGGAGGAGACTCGTGACCACTCTGAATCGCCATATCTCGTCATCCAAGGTGCAGTTTGATTACCAAACACACATCTTTAATAAATTGCTCACATGTATAAGTTTCCTGCGTTGAAGGTCATGCATTGTAATCGCCATGCAAAGGTCTTGAAATTTATATCAAGCTTGGTCTACAAAGTATGGTGATCAAGCTTGTCTCTTTTCTCATAATTTGCCCTTGCTCGTGCTCAGATAGGACTTTATCATTATTGATGTATATGGTCACCACCCTTCAAGGATTTAGAGGGAGAAATTCCACTGCCTTTTTTCATCAAAGTCAGAAAATTACCACAAAGATACACAAACATTCACATGCACACATACACATTCAAAAAGCGACTTGTAAATTTCCTCTCTTTTTGTGTGTGTAGGGGATGACACTACAGCAAAGTGGATGGTGGTCGTCGAAAAGAAAGTCATCGGGAAGTCAACACAAGCAGATGGTGTGATATGTGGAGTAGCCTATTTGCTGTGCACGTACTACAATCTCAATCTGCAATATCAGTCAAATGCATCGACGACATTGGAGTTCATTCAGCGGTAATTGCATGGTGAACTAACTGGTTAACTAATGTAGTCAAATTTATATATGCTTCTTCCACTTGCATTGGTCAGGTACAGATTATTCAGTAAATCTGTATCTGAAAATTAGGTAAATCTTGGGCAAGCTTTCTGGTTGTCATGAACAACCTTTGTGATAGAAGTAAGCAGTAAAGCATAAAATTTGAATATGTTAGTAAACCTGTCTATTATAAGCAAGAATATGCAGAAGTACCTTCATGAATTTGTGATACAGTCGCATCAGGGCATGTGAGTTAAATGGATTCCGCATCTAAGAGGGCCCTTTGAAGCAGTCCGTTGCACCGAGAGTCTTTTTTCCCCCTATCATAATCCCCTTAATCCCCCACCCGGACCGCACAGCTCGTAAATCTCACTCCCGAAACTGAGTGACATAGGGCTCGCGAAATGCATTGTTGGAAATACACATCGGCTGCTATCGACAAAAATGGCGGCGTACAGTAGGGAAGAGTATTTGGTAGGCGACGATTTAGACTTTCTGACTGATTTTGAGGAAGATTTGATTCTTGTATGGAAAGTTGGAGACCAATACAAGTTATGCACGTGTGAAATTCCATTAACGGAAAATCTTATTCGTTGCAGCGAACCAGAATGTACGATCGTGAATGCGTAGGCCGCTCCATGTAAATAGGCAGCATTTGAATACATGAATAGTCAATACACTCACAACATACAGTACAAATGCACATAATCATCCCGATGCGGTTGATCGGCAAGTTTGACAGTAGACTCACAAATTTAATTTTTAAATTATTCTTTCTAACATCAGAAAGTTGAACAAATTGTATTTTAATGCTCTTTAGGTGTCATCAATCGTCACTATAGTACTGCCTTTGAATGAAATCAGTTGAGTTTTGTACAGTGGTGTTTGAAATGTTGAGAATCAATAGCACAACTTTGAATACACGGCCGGGGTAGTAATGCAGCTATGTGTGTTTCCACCAACAACATCCAGCATGTACAGCCCAGCGAGCACGGCGGCTTTCGCGTCGCCGGCCCGTACTCGGGGTGAAAAGTGGTGATGAATTGACAACTTCTAACCCTCATTAAACCAAATGCGCAAATATACAACACAGTTTCATTTAGTTATTTTAAGAGATAAACTTATGGACTACCTTCCTAGCTATGTAAAAATTTCGGAAACTTTCGGAAAATGTCAATAATTAGAAGAGAACGTGATGATGATGAGAAACTTGCATTCACTCTAACTCACGATTTCCTTGGTCGATTTCGCTGGTTCAGATGGCTACCTCTTCAGAAGAGTTATCCGAGCACAGCGAAAGCATTTGATAACCATAGAAGGTTGCCTTGTGCCATAAGTTGTCGATTTTGTATTTTTGTCTGTTATAGCTATATACATCTTCAATGAGTATGACGTCATTTTCTCGGTGACTCGCATGGCTTCAAAGCCTTTTTTTACGACCAAGTGTTTGGAGAGCTTAGGGAAGCAGGCCGCGTTGCGTAACACTTCGTAACATTTGGATCGCCAGAGGGCATCTGTGGTCTGATAAGGGCGGCTGTTGATGGATTTGATGGCTGAAGAGGGTTAAATTACTTGTTGTTAAGCCAAGTTAATCTTGAATATCTTTCCCTTGGGAAATTCTTTCGAGACGGGATCTCCATTTAAAGTCTCACCTCCCTGGTCGCATTCATCCATTACATATATCCTTACAATAATTTGGCTAATCTTATGTGTATGTTCGCCTGAACATTTTCAGAAAAGACATGCATGATCTTGTTGCAAAATTTCAGCTTAATGTTCTCTAGATGGTCCTTTTGAAGGGGTTAAGAATTGTTGTAGTTGCTGTTCAGAATCGATACCATAATATGGGATGAATAGGGACTTGGGGGAGGGGGGGGGGGGTTGAATAGGGACAGATTCTGGAAAAACACTTTTTTGTGTTATATTTCAAAAAGTAATATTTAATGCTGGATTGTTACATTCCTTGGCTTGTTATAAAAGGTCGGATAAGTGGCGAGTAAGTTTCTGGTAAATTCCGCGTGCATGACTGAAACTACAGTAGCTTGCGAATTTTTCCTTTGGTGTCTTTCAAAAACATAATGTAACTTGTGCCACGAAGGGCGGCTCGGCACACTTACTGGCAGGCACTGCATGCATGCACTGTGCTGTCCAGATCAGAGCGCTGCCATGGCCCGGGGGCCAGAGAGTTGAGTGGAGACAGATACAGATCTCGGCTGAGTTGAGCTGAGCTACGCACTAGACAACACTACAGAGAAGTACACTACAGAATGCATCTGGGTGAAAAATAAATATAAGAATGCGCAATATTCTTTGGAGTCCGGTTCCAATTACATGGCCAGTACTGATGGTGGACAGCAGATGATGTATGCATGTCCAAAATATGCACGCGTGCACATAAAGCTTGTCATGGCCCTGGCCCGCTGTGTACACATTAGTGTATAAATGTGGGTTTTATTATCATTATTTGTTGAAAGACACCATAGGAAGAATTGGCTTGCTAACATCAGACATGCATGCGCACTGAATTTACCCGAGACTTACCCTCAACTTACCCGGCCTTTTATAACAAGTCCATTTTTTTTGGGTATAGACATCTACATCAAACATGATAAAATAGAACAATTGATTTAACTGCTCTTGTGTAACATTAGAAGAAAACACACTGTCACAAAAGTAAAGAAAAGGCGTGAAATCAATTATTTTCATACGTTTTTCTTTCCAACAGTTGCTTGATTGGCATCAATCCAGACGTGGGATCAAAGTCTCATGGACAACAATGTAGCCAGAAGGTGATATCATTTATTCGCAAATTAGCGGATTTCCAGTGGTTTCATTAATAAGGGGGCAACTTTATGCCATCCGTGGATGACCCTCGTGCAGTCGTTCGGAAAAGTAGTCCATCCTAGTGAGATTTGTCATGGGCCATGGAATCCACTCATATAGGGGTACTTTTTATATCGCAACATGTCTGTTGTTCTGGAAAAAAAGGGGTTTTCCCCTCTAGGTACTTTACTGATGGGGATAGATCAGGGTAAATTTCCCGATCACAGAATACCTGGTATTCTCGAACTTCCAGTCAGTCTGAATACGCCTTAAGATATATATACTGGAAATGTCATTTCTTGCAAAATTTATAACATGTTCTGTATAATTATAAGAAGTGTATCTTAGTACAGACTAACATTCAGAACAAATTACAGGGGCGCCTACATACTACATCAATTTCAAAATTATCAATAAAAAAAAATCCCACTTACATTGAGTATCTGAACCCTTTACTTTCACACACTTTCTTAAAATTTTATTTGTGTCTTTTTGCCCTTTTTAGACATTTGCAAATGTTATGCTTGCAAAAGGGATCATGTACCTTTAATATGCATTTCAATTGAACTTAATATGAAACATCACAAGTGAAAATTGAAATTTGAAATCAAATATTTTGTTAGTGAGGGAGGTTAAAAAAGTCACGTGACTTCGTGGTATTAAGGAAGCTGTGTGTTTAGCCTTGATGCAAAGAGACCAACTACAGGGAGCCCAAACTTTTTTAATAAATTGTGTCTAGCGGTCATTGAACTTCCTAGACAAAGCATTAGCACATGTATTCTGTGAGCCTGGCATGTGTGCAGCCTTGTCATCATAAGCATTGCTTGATTGTTTACTTACTGTTTTCCAAAATATGTTTTACATTACTTGCAATTTAGCATTATTTTACCTTAGTGAATTTTCATATATTTTAGTCTGTACATGCAATACACCTTTATTTTAATAAATTTAATAAGTCATGAAATAAATGAATTTGCCAAATATTAGGCCTATATTTAAGTAACCTATATTTTATTTCGACATATTTCAAGTTATATAATAATATATTTTTTTTAAGTAACTTATATTTTATTACGATATATGTTACGTTATATGGTAATATGTTTTTTTATCATATTTAATACGTAGCAATATTGTAGCTAAACGAATTTCATAATTTTATGTTTTCATTTTACATGTACACAAATTGATCATATTTTCTATTTTCTTTGTTCATTGTGCACATTGGTAATTCTATTTCATTAATTTCTGTATATCATGTATATTTTCTTATTGTCAAGTATGTTTTACGGTTTTTGTTATTTTGCACAGCCCCTTTGTAAACCAGCCGAGTAGCTGAATAGGGCTTTTACCGTCAATAAATCAATCAATCAATTGAATGACAGCTCATGAAGTTGAAACAAGTTTCTGTGCAGAATTGGCATGTAAATGAGACAAAAATACAGAAGAATATGAAACACGTATTAAAGATTACAAGTTTAATATAACAGAGCAACTCAAATTAAATGGGGTATTAGTTCAAAAGATAAATTAAACAAAAATAAAGTGAGTAATGTCTTTTGGAGAGATTCTACCAGGTATAGAGAGTTTTCCTTGATTCTGCCAGGTATATGGAGACTTTTCATTGATTGTATTCTGATAGTAGTTGTCGTTTAATAGTGGCTTTAAAGGAAGATAAAAGTGTATAAAATATGTCTTGTTTACAATTGAAGATAATTCTTTACAATAGTTTTTTACAATTCAGAATTTTAAAGTGAACATATTGTTGTCTGTTCGACAAATAATTTTTGACCCAAGAAAGTGCAGTGCCCCTAAGCCATACGTTGTGATTTAGCATATCAATGCCTTAAAGCCGCTATGTCTGCACAATTGCATGTGTTATTCTGTCGTATAATTAAATTAATGCTAGGTCGGGTGAATGATTTTTTTTAAAGCCATATTGGTTGGGATTAAGCAAGTTATGTGTATTTCAGAATTGGTATAATCTAAACAATTTTTTCAAGAATTTTTGAGATACTGGAAGGATGACTATGGGTCTGTAGATTCTTGAGTACTTGAACTTTTGCAGTTTTTAGTGGTTTTACTTGTTTTAATGTTTTACTTGATAGTTTCTTTGCAAGCATTTTCATAATGTTACACTATTTGAGAAACTTGTTTTATGGAGCGTTGATTACCCAATAAAGACTTTAATAATGATTTTTGTGTTCAGAAAGCTTGTTTTTTCCTCAAATTAACAGGATGATGCTGCTAATGTCAAGTTAGAATACTGTACTTATTACATTAACTTAATGTAAATGAGAGAAATAGATTTAAAAAAATAACAGGATGATACTGCTAATGTCACAGTAGAATACTGTACTTAATACATTAACTTAATGTAAATGAGAGAAATAGATAACAAAATAACAGGATGATACTGCTAATGTCACAGTAGAATACTGTACTTATTACATTAACTTAATGTAAATGAGAGAAATAGATACAAAATTAACAGGATGATACTGCTAAAGTCACAGTAGAAAAGCTGTACTTATAACATTAACTTAATGTAAATGAGAGAAATAGATACAAAATTAACAGGATGATACTGCTAAAGTCACAGTAGAAAAGCTGTACTTATTACATTAACTTAATGTAAATGAGAGAAATAACATTAATTTACTGTAGAGAAAAACTTACAGTACATAACTGTAAATACATTTAAATTACTGTGAATAAAATTACATTAATTAACTGTAAGAAGAACTTACAATAAATACTGTAACCTTATACATGAAAATTTCTTTACAGTAAGCTTACAGTATTTTAATGTCTTACAGCAAGTTACTGTTGAAAAACTTACAGGAAGTTACTGTAATGTCAAAGTTACAGTAATTTACTGTGCAACAAAGTTGCCAGTAATTTACTGTAATTTCTACAGTGAAATTTTTAACAGTGTAGAGTAATGGGTTTATTATGTATGAGGAAAAATCACAGTGCAGTTAACACTTAAGTGGTCATATGGACCCAACAATTGGTTCTTGCATGTCAGTCAGAAAACACAGTGGTTTTTCATCGCCCTTTTAAGTAATTGTCTAACTTAATGATACGCATTACCTGGTGGCCAATAAAAATTCCCATTCTCATGCTAATTAGCTTGAATAAGCATTTTCAAGGGTGCTCTTCAAATTTGTCTTGCCCGTACAATTGTAATAGAACAATTTAAAAAAAATGTTATATCAGAAAAGTATATAAGACAAGTTTTATTGAAAATTTTTATTGGGAAATACGTTTTCATGCGGAGGAATTCCCACATCCCAATGATTGCCTTACTGTTGAAAGGGATGCAGAGGAATTCCCAAATCCCAATGATTGCCTTACTGTTGTTGAAAGGGATACAGAGAAAATCCAAAATCCCAATGATTGCCTTACTGTTGTTGAAAGGGATACAGAGAAAATCCAAAATCCCAATGATTGCCTTACTGTTGTTGAAAGGGATACAGAGAAAATCCAAAATCCCAATGATTGCCTTACTGTTGAAAGGGATGCAGAGGAATTCCCAAATCCCAATGATTGCCTTACTGTTGTTGAAAGGGATACAGAGAAAATCCAAAATCCCAATGATTGCCTTACTGTTGTTGAAAGGGATACAGAGAAAATCCAAAATCCCAATGATTGCCTTACTGTTGTTGAAAGGGATACAGAGAAAATCCAAAATCCCAATGATTGCCTTACTGTTGAAAGGGATGCAGAGGAATTCCCAAATCCCAATGATTGCCTTACTGTTGTTGAAAGGGATACAGAGAAAATCCAAAATCCCAATGATTGCCTTACTGTTGTTGAAAGGGATACAGAGAAAATCCAAAATCCCAATGATTGCCTTACTGTTGTTGAAAGGGATACAGAGAAAATCCAAAATCCCAATGATTGCCTTACTGTTGTTGAAAGGGATACAGAGAAAAATCCAAAATCCCAATGATTGCCTTACTGTTGTTGAAAGGGATACAGAGAAAAATCCAAAATCCCAATGATTGCCTTACTGTTGTTGAAAGGGATACAGAGAAAAATCCAAAATCCCAATGATTGCCTTACTGTTGTTGAAAGGGATACAGAGAAAATCCAAAATCCCAATGATTGCTTTACTGTTGTTGAAAGGGATACAGAGAAAATTCAAAATCCCAATGATTGCCTTACTGTTGTTGAAAGGGATACAGAGAAAATCCAAAATCCCAATGATTGCTTTACTGTTGTTGAAAGGAATGCAGAGGAATTCCCAAATCCCAATGATTGCCTTACTGTTGTTGAAAGAGATACATAGAAATTCCCAAATCCCAATGATTGCCTTACTGTTGTTGAAAGGGATACAGAGGAATTCCCAAATCCCAATGATTGCCTTACTGTTGTTGAAAGGGATACAGAGAAAATCCAAAATCCCAATGATTGCCTTACTGTTGTTGAAAGGGATACAGAGAAAATCCAAAATCCCAATGATTGCTTTACTGTTGTTGAAAGGAATGCAGAGGAATTCCCAAATCCCAATGATTGCCTTACTGTTGTTGAAAGGGATACAGAGAAATTCCCAAATCCCAATGATTGCCTTACTGTTGTTGAAAGGGATACAGAGGAATTCCCAAATCCCAATGATTGCCTTACTGTTGTTGAAAGGGATACAGAGGAATTCCCAAATCCCAATGATTGCTTTACTGTTGTTGAAAGGAATGCAGAGGAATTCCCAAATCCCAATGATTGCCTTACTGTTGTTGAAAGGGATACAGAGGAATTCCCAAATCCCAATTATTGCCTTACCGTTGTTGAAAGGGATAGCCCCAATCCCAATGATTGCCTTTCTGCTATTGAAAGGGACATGGAGGAAATCCCAATTCTTGAAGATTGCCCAACTGTTGTTGAAACCCGAATCTATACTATTGTCTTTTGGAGCATCTATTTGATTTGTTCTGTGGGGTACATTGACACACACCCTGGATCTATACCATTGTCTTGTGGAGCATCTATTTGATTTGTTCTGTGGAGTACATTGACACACACACCTTAGTTCCATACCATAGTCTTGTGGAGCCTTTACATGTATTTGATTTGTTCTGTGGGATACATTGACACACACCCCGGATCTATACCATTGTCTTGTGGGGCATCTATTTGATTTGTTCTGTGGAGTACATTGACACACACCCCGGGATCTATACCATTGTCTTTTGGAGCATAATTTGATATGTTCTGTGGGGTACATTGACACACACCCCGGATCTATACCATTGTCTTTTGGAGCATATATTTGATTTGTTCTGTGGGGGTACATTGACACACACCCCGGATCTATACCATTGTCTTTTGGAGCATATATTTGATTTGTTCTGTGGGGGTACATTGACACACACCTCGGGATCTATACCATTGTCTTTTGGAGCATATATTTGATTTGTTCTGTGGGGGTACATTGACACACACCCCGGATCTATACCATTGTCTTTTGGAGCATATATTTGATTTGTTCTGTGGGGGTACATTGACACACACCCCGGGATCTATACCATTGTCATGTGGGGCATATATTTGATTTGTTCTGTGGGGTACATTGTCACACACCTTAGTTCCATACCATAGTCTCGTGGAGCCTTTACATGTATTTGATTTGTTCTGTGGGGTACATTGACACACACCTCGGGATCTATACCATTGTTTTGCGCAGCATATATTTGATTTGTTCTGTGGGGTACATTGTCACACACCCTAGATCCATACCATAGTCTTGTGGAGCATCTACATTTATTTGATTTGTTCTGTGGAGTACATTGACACACACCCCGGATCTATACCATTGTCTTTTGGAGCATATTTGATTTGTTCTGTGGGGTACATTGACACACACCCCGGGATCTATACCATTGTCTTGTGGGGCATCTTTTTGATTTGTTCTGTGGAGTACATTGACACACACCCCGGGATCTATACCATTGTCTTTTGGAGCATATATTTGATTTGTTCTGTGGGGTACATTGACACACACCCCGGATCTATACCATTGTCTTTTGGAGCATATATTTGATTTGTTCTGTGGGGTACATTGACACACACCCCGGGATCTATACCATTGTCTTTTGGAGCATATATTTGATTTGTTCTTTGGGGTACATTGACACACACCCTGGATCTATACCATTGTCTTGTGGGGCATATATGTGATTTGTTCTGTGGGATACATTGACTCACACCCCGGATCTAAACCATTGTCTTGTCGGGCATATATTTGATTTGTTCTGTGGGGTACATTGTCACACACCCTAGATCCATACCATAGTCTTGTGGAGCCTTTACATGTATTTGATTTGTTCTGTGGAGTACATTGACACACACCCCGGATCTATACCATTGTCTTTTGGAGCATATATTTGATTTGTTCTGTGGGGTACACTGACACACACCCCGGGATCTATACCATTGTCTTGTGGAGCATCTATTTGATTTGTTCTGTGGAGTACATTGACACACACCCTGGATCTATACCATTGTCTTGTGGAGCATCTATTTGATCTGTTTTGTGGGGTACATAGCCACATTCCCTGGATCCATACCTTCATCTTGCGGGGCATCTATTTGATTTGTTCTGTGAGTTCAAATCGATACACATTCCGGATCCACACTGTTGTCTTGTGGAGCACATACATGTATTTGATTTGTTCTGTGGGGTACATTGACACGCACCCTGGATCCAATCAATTGTCTTTATGTTGCATTTTTATTATTTTTTTCTGTGGGGTACATTGACGTGACTGTGAATCCATACCATAAGTCTTTGGAGCTCATTTTTGATTTGTTTTGTGGGGTACATTGCCACATTCCCTGGATCCATACCTTAGTCTTGCAGGTATCTTTTTTTATTTATTCTGCGGGGTACATTGTCATGCACCCTGGATGCTCACCATTGTCTTATGGGGCTCATATTTGATTTGTTCTTTGAGTACATTGACACACAATTTATCTCTATCATTGTCTTGTGGAGCACAAATTTGATTTGTTCTGTGGGGTACACTGCCATATTCCCTGGATCCAACCTTTATTTACCAAAAGCAAGGCTCCCCATTTGCTTTTTACTTGGTGGCCTGAAAATGAAATTTGGTGGCCCCAAACAATAGCAAACTTTACAGTTTATTAAAAATTTGGTGGCCCAGTCGGGCCACCAAGTGTGGGCTTTTCCAAAATTTTGCTGGCCCCAGACCCCAGGGCCACTGCTAATGTCAAGCGCTGCCAAAAGCCTTTGTTTATGAACTTTCGAGCAAGGTATGTAATGAACACGATTGACAGGTACCTTTATGCACTATCCAATTCCGTATCTGTCGCCCTTTGCTCAAGAACTCATCAAAAGATGAAAGTAAACCCATCATACTTTTTGTCTTTGTTTACATTTTGTAGAACTATTTTGGGCTAATTTTTTACGTACCAAAGAAAATCAACACCCACACCAGTAACTATGTGCAGCAAAATGCACTGCATGATGTGTCTCTCACGCAGGTTTAGTAAGCATGCTTTTTTTGCTTAAAATCCCTGATCTATTACAAAATAAGACCAGGTGGTGTTTATGATGAAAAAAAAAAACATTTTGAATTGTCTTATAATATTTGAAAGGTTAATCTGTGATGGATATCTCTGTTGCAAAAGGTAGAACACATATTTATTTTGAAAATATTGAAGAAATCTCAATTTCAGGCTGCAACTGTAATAAGTTTAGTCTATTTCTTCCTTAATTACAAAAATCAAGAATTTGAAGGAGTATATACATGTATGCTAAAATCTTATATATTGCTTTCTTGGATGAGTTGAAAACCAATCTATAAGTTGCAGGATGAAGTGTTATTTCCAAATAAACATTGCAATTTTTGAATCAATTTTGTCAAAGTTTGAACACTTTTTGGTTATTATGCCTCACTTCAAAGGTAGATTTCATGTAATGGTATCAATTGTGTATTTTTATGTATTATTATTTTTTTTTTTTTACATGAGGCCAAAATGAAGTTTGATGAAAAGTAGTGAGAGTTGTGAAATTTTACTGGTATTTTCCTACCTCTTTTATTATCAGGATACAATTGATTCATATGTGTATCAGAGTGAAACTTTCTTGACAAAATTAAACCTAATATTTTTTTTGCCAAGAAGATCTGGGTTTGTCCTTTGACCTCATGTTAATGCACTTGCTGCATTTCATTTTGCAGTAATAGAGAGTCAACCTGTAAGGAACTACTGGTACCTGTTTAAAAAAATTAGCGACTTTTAGGACCCGTGTTAGACACCTGATGTGCCTGTGTACCAGATTGTGTAGTTACAATATTTAATGATTTTATTTAGACCAGAAGACATCAATGAATCTTGGAACCCTTGGTTGATAAGTCAGTTGGCTTTTATTTGCACAAGAGAAATGAATAATTTCGCAATTTCTGTTAATTTTATCGCAATTTTCATCAAATATTGCATCCCCATACATGTAGATAAAAATGGAATTGTTGTATACATTAGTAGACAAAAAAATTCCTGGCTTGAATGCTGGTGACTGGAACAATTCAGACGATTGTAAGATGAAATATGAAGCAAGGGACATCAAAATCAAAATGATAGGCTTATACAGTGATTTAAAAATTTTGGGTAGGCCCTGGTCAGCGGTACAGATATGCGTGGAATGGCTCGGGTTCAAAGGGTTAAAAAAGAAGACACACATTGTGGGTCAATATAATTGAATTGCTTTAATATCAAAGATTGCGATTTATTATGCATTGTATTTTTTCCTTCTTCAATGAGAAGACATAACAAAAATATTTAAAAATTCAGTGTGCCCAAGAAGGTTTAATATTTCATGGTAAGACTGGATACTGATTGTATTCATAAGTTGAATTTGTCATTTTTTTTATTTCAGACATAGACATCCAGGATTTATTACAAGAACAACAAGAACCAACAGGTAAATTACTATAAGCAAAGTTTAGATACCTTAAGGTGGAATTGCACCCCGATACTATTTTTGCATTTTACTCAAAAAGTAATACCACTCTGGTCAAGGAAATTATAGATAGGGACAAAGAATCCAAATACTATACTGGAATTTCAATAACTCAAGCTGAGCAATTCATTACTAGTGAGAAAAGGAGGAAAATCCTAGCAATCCCTCATTTTCTTTTATAACTGACTTGTTTTTAGAAAAATACAATAAGTTACAGATTTATCAAGGGGGTGCAATACCACCTTAAGTGTAGGCCTATTAAGGCTCTAACCCCAAGTCCTAAATCAAATCCTAATCCATAACCATAATGTCAGTTATAGAACCCTAAACCCTAACCCGAGCTAATATGTCTGTGGGCATATTTAGTGTGTAGCGGGAAATGGCATGGAGGTTAACCCCTATACAAATTTAAGTTCGTCGCGAACTCGTATTATGCTCGTGGTAAGCTTAATAAGATCGTTTTTTAGGCTTTAAGCTCGTAACACGCTTCCAGGACGCTAGTAACGATCTTACAAAATCTTCCGAGCTCGTGAACGAGTTCGTCACGAGCTCGTGGCGAACTCGCGGGTAAACTGGGCAGCTCGTGGCGAGCTCGTGACGAGCTCGTTGGTAAAAGGGGGAGCTTGTGGCGAGTTCGTGGGTAAAAGGGGGAGCTCGTGGCGAGCTCGTGGCGAGCTCGGGCATAAACTGGGGAGCTCGTGGCGAGCTCGTTGGTGAAAGGGGGAGCTCGTGGCGAGCTCGTGGGTAAAAGGGGGAGTTCGTGGCGAGCTCGGGTTAAACTGGGGAGCTCGTGGCGAACTCGGGGGTAAACTCGGGAGCTCGTGGCGAACTCAAGGTTAAACTGGTAAACCCAGCCCTCTAGGACGGTGGACAGCAAAGTTTCATAATTTTTTTAAAAATATCTATTTGATTCAAAATTGAACAATTCAATGAATTTTATATACACAATGTAGAAAGCCTTTCTTGTGAAAGATTAGAACGATTATAAATGAAGTTTTCTTAACAAAATTGTATTTTGTATTTTTCATATACGGTAACGCATGTTATGGGTAGACACCAAAGAATTTTTAGAATTTCAAACATGTGCTGTTTTTTTAACTATAACATTTTAAGCTTCATCTTTTTTTAATTGATTTGATCCATGGAGTTCTTCTAAGAAATAAACTGGGAATTGTCAAAGTTTTTCATATAATGTGCATTCATCATGCAGAAGCACCAAATGGAACGCGTGTTGCATGGTGGACACCATGCATAACAACTGTTACAAGATGTGAAATATGGTGATTATGAAAAAACTTTGCCACGCAACCGAAGGTTATCAATGACATGAGCATAAATAGATTCAGCACTTACTACCAGACAATAATTGAACATCAGATAGTCATACAAATTTAGAGAATACTCATTACCAGGAACTAGGTTTTTTCATGTCACGTTTTGGTGTACGTCCTAAAAAGGGCAAAAAATGGGTTTCACCTTACATAAAAATTTAAACCCAGGGTTTTGAAACACAACATTATTTAAGTTATCTCCACTACATATCTGCATTAAGACATGGACAAAATTATCACCATAGAATATACTCTTTTATTTTTATACTTGGATCTGAAATATCCATGGTGAAATCTCTCCAGTATCATAAAAATACACATATGCAATTACATTGAAAGTTCAGAAAATTTATGTTGAAATTGAAACAACAGCTTTTTCATGCTGAAGTAACCTGTCAAATTTCTTGTAAATTTAATTAAATTCTTTTGAAACTTTGAAACATTTATTTGCAGCATACCAGATTGGGAAGGGGGGGTGCCATTTATTCTGACTGTATCATATATTTAACACCCTGAAATGTCACTATCAGGTATTACATAAGACCACACACCCAGTGCTTGATTCGAGGTCAACTCCCTGTTTCTATCTTGCTCTCTCCTTATGTACATAGGATCCCCCCTGCTTAGACACAAATCCCTATTCCTCTCTTCTCCCCTCTCTCACTTTCTTGTGTACTCTCTCTTGTGGAATTACCACTGGTAGCATTCCTGATAAGAATGACTTGATTTAGGCCCATTTGGTCAAGTCTTTTTCTATCTTGCTGTTGTGGAGAGCAGACATGGGTTTTGAATGGTATTGCAGCTCCTTTGTTTTAGGTAAGAGAAAAACTAATTTCTCACACCTTTTAACTAAATGTTCTATTGTGTATTTATAATAAGACTAGGCCAACAGTTAGGCCTACCTCTCTTATACATTTATGAAAGAGAAGTGCAGAGTAATGATTAATGAGATAATGTATTCATTCTCTTTCTAGTGAGATATCTTTTCATATATTGGGAATTTTGTTTATCTATCTAGCACATAGTACATTCACTTCAATAAAGTAACATTAGATATCTATGTGATAAGGTTATATTCATGTAAACATTTCTGTATCTTGAATGACAAACCCTACCTTTTAGGCAACATGAGAGCACAATAATGCATTTGGTCTGAATACTGAAAACTAGTTTGCTAGCGGATATAAAGAAGGGATTGTTCTAGAGATCCTATAGTGTACATGTATCATTACTTGGTACCCTGGGTTGGTGAATACACTGACAAAAAGGGGGGATGCTACATAGTTATTGTATGAATACCGCTTTATAAGTTTGGATCTTTGTAATATTATGAGTGATTAGAATGATGGATAAATAATTACCAAAATGGATAATAATATTTCTTCAAAGGCAGAGTATTATGCAGTGTAATTACTCACATATTTAATTTCATTATACAGTGTAATTATATAATTTGGAAATCATTTATTCATTCATATTGTTGTGTGAAGTTGTGAACCCTGCATACAAGGTAACATGCATTATACATGGTTTGTATTGACTCTAATAAAGAGCTACTTGTTTTAAGTTACATTTTATGTTATATCTTTTCTTTCTGTTCTTTGATATATTAGTGATTTAATTGATTGATATCCCAGAAGTAATCAGCTTTTAAATTGCCCTAAGAGTATCACTGTATTCTTCACCAGCTAGCCAACTGAATTGCCCTTGCATTGCCAGCCTGCAGATGTTACCAGGATATTGAAAGGCTGATAAGTTAGATAAATATATATATATGCTTGCCAATAGCTCAACAGGATCATCAAGTTCACCTCTATATGTAGACACAAATTTGTTCTCAATGCCAACCTGCTGTTAAGCATGCCATTATAAAGCGTGCAGCCATTTTTTCCACGAGATTGTCGACGAACTCGCCGACAAGCTCGTCGACGAACTCGTTGACGAACTCGCCGACGAACTCGTTGACGAACTCGCCGACGAACTCGTTGACGAACTCGCCAACGAGCTCGCCAACGAGCTTATCGGCCAGTGACGAGCGTGTATATTTCGAGCACGCCAACGAGCTCGCCAATGAGCACGCCAACGAGTTCGTAGCTAATTTGCATATTTGGAACGAAACGAGGTCGCTGGCGAGTTCGTCTGCTTGCTCGTCAACGAACTCGTTGGCGAGCACGCTGACGAGCTCGCGTGTAAGCGTACTGAAATTTGTATAGGGGCTATCCCCTTGACAACCACCCCCGGATAACCACCCCTAGGATAACCACCCTCTAGGGCAACTACCCCTAGGACAATTACCCTCTAGGATGATTACCCCAGCTAACTACCACCTAGGGCAACCACCCTTTAGGACAACTACCCCCTAGGACAACTACCTCCTTTGGCTACTACCCTCTAGGATGACTACCCCCAGGACAATTACCCTCTAGGATGATTACCCCCAGCTAACTACCCCTAGGGCAACCACCATTTAGGACAACTACCCCCCACCAGTACCCCCCCCCCCCCCCTCTCATCGGAAACCAGCCCTGGACAACTTCCTCTAGACAAGTACTCCCTAAGGCAAGCAACAATTCCTAGAAGATGGTTGTCCGGTCCAGTGTGTACTCGGGGGGGGGGGGGGGGGGGGGTAGTTGACTGTGGGGTTTTTGCGTGTTTTTTCCGCATAGGCTTAAACATTGCACATTATGCTTGTTCTCAAAACTATGTCATATAATTTATCCAATTGTCTTACAGTTGGAGGATACTGTTAGAGAAACAAGGGAACAGCCATCTCCAGATGAGGAGGCACCTGATGAGACTACAGACAAGGTAAGTAATCAGCATTCCTTTTTGATAAGTCCAAATGTATTACATGCTTTCATACTATAGTACAACATGTAAGAAGAAACTGAATACAATTACTATATATGTAATAAAGTAATTATTTTTTCAAATAATATAATACATACCTTAAACATTGCACATTATGCTAGTTCTCAAAACTCTGTCATATAATTTATCTAATTGTCTTACAGTTGGAGGATACTGTTACAGAAACAAGGGGACAGCTATCTCCAGATGAGGAGGCACCTGATGAGACTACAGACAAGGTAAAATTACTCCTTTGATTTTTGAAAAGTGACATTTTTGCATTTAATGTGTGCTCAATCATGCATGACTCAGATCAATCTGATTTTAACACAAAAGTTAGTTAATAAGTATGGAAACACTCCTGCTCAGTATTTTTACACAACAATGTTTCATTAATTTTTTTAATGTCATTTTGATTAGGAGGGTGTTACTTTTTTGTTGTGTTTAAAATGTAAAGAAGCAACTTTTTTATTTGCACTTTGTATACGGAATACATTTTTGGATGATGAAAGCGTAATGCTATGGTAACAATTTACCATTCACATTGTGCATAAGAAAATTGCGCATCCAATACCTTTTGCAAGATCAAAATTGGCAAAATACTTTTTGAGATAATTATAGGAAAATGCTCGGGGAAACCTACATTTTTGGTGAGTGTATATTCTAATATATATATATCTTTTTCTGTAAGCGCTATGGTACTTTTTGGTAGATAGCGCATAATAAATGACCATTATTGTTATTATTATTATATAGAAACTTCATATTTGTTTATGTGTTTGTGCATATGCATGGTTTCGAAATGTAAGAGTGGTGACATTGTATATGAAGATTGTAAAAAATGGTGTGTGTGTTTGTGTGTTTATACATGTACTTTTAAACTGTTAAAGTGATGACATTCTAATACATAGAGACTTTATAAATGTTTGTGTGTTCATGTATGCATGGTTTTGAAATGTAAGAGTGGTGACATTGTATATGAAGATTGCTAATAATGGTGACTTTGTGTGTTTATATGGTTTTAAACTGTTAAAGTGGCGACACTCTAATACATAGAGACTTTATAAATATTTGTGTGTTCATGTATGCATGGTTTTGAAATGTAAGAGTGGTGACATTTTATATGAAGATTGCTAATAATGGTGTATGTGTGTGTTTATATACATGTACTTTTAAACTGTTAAAGTGATGACTTTCTAATACATAGAGACTTTATAAATGTTTGTGTGTTTATGTATTCATGGTTTTGAAATGTAAGAGTGGTGTCATTGTATATGAAGATTGCAAATAATGGTGAATGTGTAAATACACTTTTAAACTGTTAAAGTGGTGACATTCTAATACATAGAGACTTTATAAATGTTTGTGTGTTCATGTATGCATGGTTTTAAAATGTAAGAGTGGTGACATTGTACAAGAAGATTGCAAGTAATGGTGTGTGTGTCGGTATATATACTTTTAAACTGTTAAAGTGGTGACATTCTAATACATAGAGACTTTATAAATGTTTGTGTGTTCATGTATGCATGGTTTTAAAATGTAAGAGTGGTGACATTGTACAAGAAGATTGCAAGTAATGGTGTGTGTGTGTGTGTCGGTATATATACTTTTAAACTGTTAAAGTGGTGACATTGAGTCCTGAGGAAACTTTTGTTGGGTTGTTTTCTACCCTCATACATGTAAGTGTATACAAAAATATACAAAATTAAGGAAATACAGTTTTTGACCCGTTTGACTTTTACCAACACTGCAATACCTTCAAAGCGATGTTAATAAATAATTATAGTAGACACCTTATGAATGTTTGTTTGTGTTAAAGCATATACATGGTTTTAACATGTTAGGGTGGTGACATTGTAAATATGGGGAGTTTGCAAATAAATAAAGGTATATGTGTATGTTAAAGCAATGGCAGTTTAATATTGGAAATTTAGGGTATGATTGTGTGTATAGAGTGAGTAAGCATAAAGGAACCTTGTGCTCAACCCCAACTTTCTTTCATCTATCATGATAAAGGCTACGTCAGAATGCATATTCTTGTAATTAATTACATTCTCTTACAAGGGACAATGTTTCAACTTGCAGTTTCCTCAAGATAAAACATATTTGTTGTATCCATTAAATATCAAAACTGTTTCAGGTAATTAGTCCTCTTTCTTCTATTACAGCCTATGGATACTACAGAAACAAGGGGACAGGCATCTCCATGCATAGGCATTGATGAGGAGGCACCTGAAGAAACTACATGTACAGAGATGGTAAGGAATCAGTATTCCTTCTGGATAAGTCGAAATCTATTGTGCTTTCATAGTAGTGCATAGTAGTAGTACGTAAGAATATGTAAGAAGTGGAGAAATTTACTAAATAGAATTACTATAGTAAGAACTCCATTATTTAAATTGTGAGTTTGCAAAGAAAAAGAATAACAGATTAGGAAGTCAGAAAGATGGGTAAGAAGTTCTTTATTTAAAGGAAAATGAACGGAGACAAAGTCGATAGAAAACATATAAATCACAATAGCAGGTGCTTAAATTAATCGTGGACAAAACATATTGAGAATTGTCAACAAATTAATGTCAATACCTACGGTCGTGTCAAAAATGTCATATAGAAAAATCATTTAGCCATAACTTTCTTATTCCATTCACATTTGTGCTGACTTGTTTTATTCTGTCTGAACTTTGATTTCAAACTTGTTGACTTGAGGGTTTTGGTTTCTTTTTAATCTGTACCCACAGCTCCATTCACCACTACCTGTAGTTTCCTTAAAACCACCTCTCCCACCGCCCACTCCTTCAATATCTCCTTCCTCTTCTTTCACATCTGCTCTTTCTCTTCCTTTCAACTACTCTCCTCATACTCCTCCCGTTCCTGTTACTTTTTCTTCTTCCTCATCTTCTCTTTCTCATTATTTTTTCCTACATCCTGTCCCCTTTTCTTACTCAGAATCTTCACTTACATATTTTTCAGGCAATTATCTCTTTGCTCCTCCTCCTTCTCTTGTCCTCTTTCCCCCTTCTCATTCTCCTTCCCCTTCTTCCTCTCCTCCTCCTTCCTCTCCTTCTCCTACTGCTCCGCGTTCATCTCCTCCTATTTCTACTAATGCTTTTCTTCCCCGACCCTCATATTCTCTTCCTGCTTTTTTCCATAATACTCTGTATTTTTTTCTTGCTCTATTACTTCTTCTTCTTCTTCTTTTCATTATATTTGTCATTCTTTTGTATGTTCTTGAGTAATTTTCTCATAGCTATTTTATTGATTTCCCCCTTTTAAATTCTTGTGGGGGTGGGGGTGGGGGGGGGGTTGCTGAGAGAGGAACTGACCGCTAAGTTGGTAAGTAATTAAAATTGAAATGCAAATACTTGTAAGTACTTAAGGTAATACACAGTTTTGGTAAATTTTGAAAATTGGCTGAATAGTGATTCCTTACAATTTTGATATATTTGGATGCCCCTCAGGATGTATTATAAGCACTACAAAAATTAGCCCATAGAACACTTCTGCTTTCGAGATAAATTGATTATCAATATTTACCGGTGCTCCCGGTAAATTTTGTAAATTTCAAATAGCGCCTATGGCCAAACAATGATAGCTGCGACCATGAAAATCTCAGAATATGCAGTTGTGATATATAATTTCCAAACGGGAATAGCCAATTGCTCGATTTTAGTCAACACACATTGTTTTATAGCTAAATCAATATATTGACCTTGAGAGGGAGCTAAACAACATAATGAGTATATTATTTATAATTTCATCACTTTAGACTCAATTTCAACTGCGACAACGATCACTGAATATTGTAGGATCACATATGCTCCCAATATGTTCATTTGAACCAAGTTCATGACCCCATACCAAACTTTGTATTACCTTTAATGTATAAGTTTTAGTATACCTTGTCCTTGATAGAAATTTGAAAAGAATACGGTACAGGGACTGGGGTGCAGACAGATAGAGAGAGAGAGAGAGGGGGGGGGGGATTACACTATTTTACTACTTTAACAGCAATTGTATATCCTTATTTTTTAATTATGTTTTACTGGGATTATTAGTTATGTTTGAAACTCTGGGGAAGAACAAATCCACTCTGCAGGTTATATTTTCTATATTTTATACAAACTAAATTTCCCTTTCGTTGAAAAGATATGAACGATAGAAGTGTTGGGATTTTTAAGTTTAACTATCCAATGGATAATCATAACTGTGTACAAAGGCAGTGCAACGATTAAGGGAAAATTACTTTAATATCCATTGAAAATTGTCCTCACTATGTTTAGCACTTTATATCACATTCATATCTTCACTGCTTGTCCTCACTATGTATAGCTCATCTTTCACACTCACATCTTTACTGCCTGTCCTCACTATGTATAGCTCATCTTTCACACTCACATCTGTACTGCCTGTCCTTATGTATAGCTCATCTTTCACACTTACACCTTTACTGCTTGTCCTCACTATCATCTATCACACTTACACCTTTACTGCTTGTCCTCACTATGTATAGCACTTTATATCACATTCATTCCTTACTGCTCGTCCTCACTATGTATAGCACTTTCACACTTACGGTACACCTATACTGCTTGTCCTCACTATACACATCTTTCACATTTACATCTTTACTGCTTGTCCTCACTATATATCACATCTATCACACTTACATATTTACTGCTTGTCCTCACTATGTATAGCTCATATATAACACTTACACCTTTACTGCTTGTCCTCAATATGTATAGCTCAGCTCTTTCTTGTAATACATAACAACTTTATGTTTGTGTGTTTATGTATGCATGGTTTTGAAATGTAAGAGTGGTAACATTGTACAAGAAGATTGCAAATAATGGTGTCTGTGTATATATACTTTTATACTATTAAAGCGGTGACATTGTAATATATAGAATAGGCATACGCTCAAGTATTGAATATTATGCTAGCTAGTCCACAAAACTGTCATATAATTCATCGTATTGTCTAATTACAGCTGGAGGATACTGTCAGAGAAACAAGGGGTCAGGCATCCCCATGCATAGATATTGATGAGGAGGCATCTGAAGAGAGTATAGACTCGGTAAGCAATCAGTATTCCTTCTGGATTAGGTCAGAATGATTCAATTTGCATTTTGCCATCCTAACTTTGGGCCTCATTGGAAAAGCACGGTATATATTAAGTAATAATAATAATAATACTAATAGTACTTATTCAAGTATTTTGTTTTAGAAACACTCTAATTCGCGACCTTCGAAAATAGGCTTTATTGTGCTCCTTGCCAGCCTGAATTTGATGACGTCATATGAAGAGGGAAGGGTTGTGATTACGTGCGTTTGTATGTAGAAAAATCTTCTTCTTTTTTTTCTTTCCAGAATACGAATTTGAATTTTTGAAACGATTTTCACATGGATGTTACTTAAGTATTTCCTGCTTAAATTGATGAAATGTACAGGTCTACACAATTGTTTTTTGGGGTCATTTTTTATTTGCTGCTTATTTGGCGCAGCTTTTCATCTGTATCTGCATTCAGATTGTGTGGAATAGATTTACCTGGCATAGCAGTCATAGCCGGGAAGGAGTCCACCTCCCTGCGCTCACCTCTAAGACATTGTTTATTATTCAAAAAGGCCACAGTGCCTTCTCAAAATTCAGCCAAAATAAATACAAACATGCAATTATTTTGCTCGCACGCTCGCAAATGATTAGTTATCAGTGTAGTCTTAAACAAGCTCTGCATATTAAGTATTAAACATGAGAAAAGATATGTCAAAAATACATAAGTATAATAGATCGAATGTAGGCGGTATGCCAACCCATGCCTCTAAACATTATTTTTCATTATCATGTCCACCCTTTGAAAGTATCGCTGCCTATCGGTTATCTCGCCCCTCCTATGAAAATACCCTGGCGCCGCCCCTGAAAGCACCAGTCCAAAAAACAAAGTATTCGCAAACAATTCTCTTTTACAAGGGTGATAAGTGAGCACCACAAAAAAAATAGGTTTTTTGTTTTTGCCTCAACCACGCCCCCCTCGAGTACCAACAAAAAAGAGGATTCGCGGAGAAAAAATGGCATCTAACAACATTCCCCCCTTTCGAGTAAGAAAATTGGGACAAAATTGGAACAAAATTGGGAAAAAATGGGGCAAAATAGGGAAGAATAGAGAAAATCAGGATAAAATAGGGAAGGAAAAAAAAAAATGATAAAATTTTTTTTAAAAATCTGGATTTTTTTTTTTTTTTTTTTTTAAATCGGGAAGAAGAAAAAAAATCGGGAACCCGATTTAAATCGGGTTTTTATCAGGCCTGTTTTATCAGTGTAGGCTATTAATTGCATGGATATTGTGTAATTTGACTTATTTTCCCTTTATTATAATCCATTTTAGAATACTGACTCGGATAGTTCATATGTACCATCTTCCGGAGGGACTGATGACGAGGACAACCTTTTTAGGTGCAGTGACGTACAGCTCCCATCAACCAGTGCAGCCCCTAATGAACCAGGGAGTATTCATGTACAGATGACAAATAATGATGGAAAGAGAGTGTTTGACAAAAGATACCCTTGTTTATATTGTCAAACCATGCAGTCACAAATTCAGAGACATTTGCGAGATGTACATGGAGAAGAACATGAGGTAGCTGCAATACAGAATGAAAAAGACAGAAAAGAAAAGCAAAAGAAAATGACTCTTCTAAGAAATAAAGGCACACATAGGCACAATTGCACAGTGTTGCGAAACGGTGAAGGGACAATACATGTAGTGAATAGGCCAGCATATCAAACTTCAGCAGATGATTACGGGCCTTGTGAACATTGCTTGGGCTATTATGTGAGAACTGATTTGTGGAAACACAATTGCCCTCTGAAACCATCTCACCAAAAGAAGAAGCATGAAAGGCTAGCGAACACATGCAAACTACTCTTACCACCTCCAAGGGGTGTCTCGGCTGGATTAAATAAAGTGCTACTGACAATGAAGAAAGATAAGATCAGTAGGATTGCTAAGAGCGACAATCTAATAATAGAGATGGCCGAAAGGCAGTATCGTGTTCATGGACATGATAAAGACAAACTGTCAGACATAAGAAACAAAATGAGGGAGTCCGGACGCCTTCTTTCTAAGCTTCGAAAGAGAACAGAGAACAAGAATGCTCCTTTGAGTGAATTCATTCACCCGAGGAAGTTCAGGACCGTGTTAGCAGCAGTGCAGGAGGTCGCTGGGTACAACGAAGAGACGCATCAATACAAAATACCATCCCTAGCATTGAAATTAGGGCACACTTTGCAGAAAATGGCCAAAGTACAACAAGGCAAGGGATCTGAAAGTGGAGATGACAATATGTACCACAATGCAAAGAAATTCAGTGAGTGTTGCACAAGTGATTGGTCGTGCTTTATTTCCTCCAATGCCCTCAGAACGCTGCATGAACAGAAAAGGAATCGCGTTGAGCTTCTCCCTCTATCTATTTATTTTTAACAAAGGAACAGACTCGCATCTACCACAATTCCAGACAGAGGTGGTTATAACAATCACTCACAATCACCCTGTGATGTGTACAGATGCACTAAAATACAGGGATGTTTCCAAAGACACCAAACAGAGGTTGACAGAACTTTTCAAAATAAAATATGGTCCAACCCAAGCAGTGGAGATGCTCAAGTATGAGCTCTTACTCCATCATAAGGAAGACTACCTTGTGAAGGCAGCAGACAGGGCAATTTGTCCAGATGTGCAGTTTGCTCATAGGTAATTTGTTTGTGTCTTTTCAGTCATTGTTGTTGTTCAACTGACCTGGTGTGTGATAAATCAGTACTGTGATTTAGTACACATGTCTTTTTCAGAACTGTTGACAATTTTACCCCCATAAGGTTTGATTTGGTTGGAATTACAGGAAGCATAATTATTAAAATTCACACAAAATATAACCATTTACAACCCATGTCACCTTTGAACCTATGACTCCAAATCAGATAATCTCCTTGTGGCTTATTAAAGAGTTCATCAAACACCACTTCCTCAAAGATGACCTTCAAGATCTGTGGTCCAGGAACCTCTGCCACTTGTAAGGCACAAGTTTATCCCAATATTGGCCATCTTCTACGGATCTTACTTTTCCTCTCTACTGCCACAGCACAGGTAGAGAGACAATTCTTCACAATCAAGTGATGTCAAGGGGACTGGCAGACATAGACAAGGCATTATCAAGGTATTGGCGTGTTCTACCTTGCTCGCCCAATAAGTTTGCAACAACTTCGCTTACGTAAAGTTTAGAGTGGATGGAGAGACGGCTGTCATCAATATCAGCGAAATAAAGAACTTTGACAGGGAGAGCTACCACGAGGACAAATGTTACATGGTGCGGTGGAGCCCTGCAGATGTGAAGGCCAACAGTGCCGGGACTTCCAAATCCAACTCCAACTCCAAGCTCGCAAACTCAAAGAAAAACAAGGGTAGGCCTACCATATTCTTCAGAAGTTAACGGAGCAAAAGGGATGAGAATTCTTCAGACGATGACTCAATGGGGGTTGAAACCGATGGGTACTACAGAGCTCAGAAACTACTTTTGGAGGTAAGTTATTTAACTTAGCTACCTAGACTCTATAAACCGTCAACAAACTTATAGGAAAGCGAGATTTTGCAATTTTGGACATGTTAGTCAGGCAGAAGCCATCAGCAAGAGTGCTAAGCTTAGAAGCACTCATCATGTGGACAAATAACAAGACTGTAGGGTGGATACATAGCTTAGACGAGGCAAGAAGGACAGAGCTTATGACTGAAGCTAGATCGAGAGCTCCAGCTGTACTTCAGAAATCCAAAGACAGGATGTCGACAATAAAAAGCAAAAAATGGAGGCACGAAGTTGGAGAGGAGAGATGAGAAGATTGAAGAGCTGAAAGATGCAAAATTACAGGCAAAGAAGATGGAACTGACAGTCAAAGAACTGAGTAAATGCAGAGCAATTTTAAAAGCAACTGAATGTGCAGCTAATGAAATTGAAATGCTGATAGAAAAATTAAAAAAGTACCTGGGTTTTTAAGTCACTTTGCTCGATGGTTCAACCCGCACCATGTGCTTGACTGAAATGGCCAAAGGAAATACAGAAGGAACGATGGAGGCTTTCAAGGGTAGATTGAGAGAGTTTGCAGAAGTGCCATCTACAACAAGCTAAACTGCTCATTCAAAAGCACTATGACAGACCACGGATCTGGATTTCCCCAGATGAGTGAATGGGGGAAATTGATGAAATTGGAAAAGTCCTGAAATCACTAGAAGAAATTTCAAGGCAGGGGCGGCTGAGCGACTTCCAAAGTGGGAGTCACAAACAAAAATGGACACTTTCTAAAGGGAAATCCCAAAGCGAAACCATCATACTTTGCAGTTGGATGTGGTGGTCAGGAAATTCATTTGCAAGCGAGGAAAAATATTAAGATTTGTGAGTACGGCGAAAAAAATACATCTTATATAGAGGAAAACCCTAATCCAGATGGGGTTATAAGCACATTCTCTTAACGGAAGATTGAAAAGACCTTTGATAAGTATGAATATAAAGTAAATATATAGTATGAATACGAGCGAGCATAGCGACCGAGCGTCGGGGGAAATTGCTATTAGTCGCTTTCTATGAGAAGAGGAAGGGGCTCTTTTTTTTTTTAATGGGGGCAACTTAACATAGAGAAAAGTGGTAATTATTAGGAAAGTAAAAGGGCACATGTAAAAATATAAGGTGCGCTAATACGAGTTACAAAGGGGAAGACCGGAATAAGCCTCAAGATCCTGATAAAATATGTAATATCTGTCTCCTTATGCTCAGGGTACGATGACCATGTACAAGCGACTCACATCTAACGAGATCTACGACAAGGTGGACGAACTACTCACACAGGTTAGAGGGGAAAAAATCAATCATTGATTCGACTGCCAAGACACTGGCGGATTCAGGGGCACAATCAGCCCGTCCCCGTCCACCCTACATCCTCTTTAAAACTCTTACCCTTGCGGAATTTTTTAAGTTCACAAGAGATGATTATGGAAGCAGGAGCCTGTCAAAAAATAACTTCAATATCCGTGTGATGCGAATTGCAACGTGTCAACAATTTGAATTACACACGGTGTAAATAATAGCCCGGGGGGTCGAAATTAACTCTAAGTTGGACCTAAACATTATGGAGAGCCATGTGTAGCCTTGAAATAAAATATATTCAAAAGCAAAAATTCAAGTATTTTAGACTTTGCATAAGTTCAAAATCAAGAACATGATATCTCCTTGATGATCGAAAATATGATTGATTTAAAACCACAATGTTTTAAAGAACAGAAACTCAAACAAAGTAATAAGATTGAACATGCAAGGCATTTTCATATCCAGATTGATGGCATGATGATGCAGATGTACTATCTGTATCAAACATCTCCAAAGAAGTGGGGGGAGCTGCAGGCAGTAGCCACAGCTTTGGAAAAGGATCTACTGAAGCCAAGCCGGTCCCAGGGCACTCGGTGGCTGGTTCATCGGTGTAGATGGTTGTGATGCCTGGCAACTGACTACCATGCCATTGTAACTCAGTGTAATGAGTATGCCTCTAGGCAGAGAAGAGATATTCTACCTCGTGATGCTGCTAAGATGAAGGGGTATGTCAAACTACTCACAGCACCTAATTTTGTTTGCCATATGGTCTTGTACAGAGACATTGTAGAAGTTGCAGCTGGGGCTGTCCTTTGTATTCCAGAGAGACAACCTCCTCATTTCTGCAGTTCGTAGTAGTGTGTCTGCCACAAAAGCCACATTGACCAGAATGGAGGCACATCCAGGTGTTCATCTGAGGAATGTTCATGCTGCTGCAGGCAGAGCATAAAAAAGTAATGAACCCCAGTTCACCCCTTCTGTGGCATGGACATTGATGCTAGACCTCTTCATGCCTTTAAAAGTGTGAAGAAGAAGATCATCCAAGCCATGATTCATTGCCTTGATGTCACGTTTACTATAGTTTTGGTTGTGTTGATGTTTTTAAACGATGATATTGTTAATGAAACTAAATTTTCATCACCATTGTGTGTTTGTGTGTTTTAGGGATTGGAGGTGTGATATATTAAAAGTTCATTCAGCATTCCATACCCGTATTGTGGTAGCTTTCTGATAGTGTTTCTTGTGACTGAAGATTTTTAAGCCCGGGTTCAATTTTTTTTTGTACCTATTTCCGCTATTCTGTTATAGATATTTATTTTAAGTTTTATTGTGTGTTTTCTGCCATCGTAGATCCATGCCTGGTGTTTTTAAGGTGTGTGTGGTTGAACAGTTTGAGATCAGGAGGCCACGAGGCAACGACCCGCATGTTTTTAGGCTCGTGTTGGAGTCGGGGGAAACGAGCCAGTGGCCGTCTATTGCCACTCCCCAGAAGAGCAGGTCGGGAAAGATTTGTTGGCGTTGCCATTGCGCAAAAAAGTGATGCTCGCCAAGGGCACCATGAAGGGCAGGAATTTGTCCTTTTCAAAAGAATCCAAGGTATTTATTTTGAGTTTTAGTTTTCTATGTAATTTCTGTTTTCTGATAGTGTTTTGTGTGACTGAAGATTTTATGCCAGGACTCAGCTGTTTTTAGTTGTTATTTCCGTTTTTCTGTTACTTTTGTTAGAGTTTTTTTATTTTTAACTTGAGTGCCGTGCGTTTTCCAGCCATCATGCTTGGTATTTTCAAGGTTTGTGTTGTGGAACAATTTGAAGTACGAAGACCACGAGGCGAGGAGCCGCATGTGTTTGGGCTCGTGTTGGAGTCAGGGGAGTCAGAGCCAGTGGCTGTTTATTGCCACTTTCCTGAAGAGCAGGTGGCCAAAGATCTCTTGGCGTTACCATTAAGGAAGAAGGTTATGCTCGCCAAGGGCACCATGAAGGGTCGAAACCTGTCCTTAACGAAGGAATCCAAGGTATTTGTTTTGAGTTTTAATTTTTATGTAATTTCTGTTTTCTGATAGCGTTTTGTGTGACTGAAGATTTTATGCCAGGGCTTAGCTGTTTTTAGTTGTTATTTCCGTATTTCTTTCACTTTTGTTAGAGTTTTTTATTTTTAAGTTGAGTGCCGTGTGTTTTCCAGCCATCATGCCTGGTATTTTCAAGGTTTGTGTTGTGGAACAATTTGAAATACGAAGACCACGAGGCAAAGAGCCGCATGTGTTTGGGCTCGTGTTGGAGTCGGGGGAAACGAGCCAGTGGCCGTCTATTGCCACTTCCCAGAAGAGCAGGTCAGGAAAGATTTGTTGGCGTTGCCATTGCGCAAAAAAGTGATGCTCGTCAAGGGCACCATGAAGGGCAGGAATTTGTCCTTGACGAAGGAATCAAAGGTATTTATTTTGAGTTTTCAATGTTTTTTCTGTTTTGTGAGTGTAGTTGTTTTTTAGGTGTAATTTTGTTGTTGTTAATAAACTTCAAACTTCAATTTCAACTTCAACTTCAGAAAGACCTCATCCACTCACCTCCACGAGATTAAGGAAACACTTGGCAATTATGTCCCAAGTGCCATCGCTTAAAAGAACATGAAATGGACCAATTGGCATCTTTTCTGGGACATGATATTACGATCCACAGACATTTCTACATGTACCCCCTCCCACTTGATGTTGTGCAAGTTGCTCATGTTTCCACCTGGCAGCAGAAAAGGGTTGAATCAGAGAGTTTGCAGGAAAGGGATTGGATGAAATCATATTTCTCCTAATGACATCGCAGAGTTTTCTATTGTTAAATGTTATACTGTATTTTCTATTATTTGTACTTTCCCTGTCAAAAAAGCCATTGGAAGCAAAATTTCTATGTAATGTTTGCATGCACGGACCAATAAAATAAAATGATATTGAATCTTGAGAAGGAAGATGAGGTAAAAACTGTTGTTTCCGATGATGATCACGCAGAGCAGGGAATTATGGATGTTGAAGAAGAAAGTGAACGTGTGAGCAGTGTTTCAACAGAGCATGAAGACATGAACATTTAAACAGGAAAGTGAAGACAATAGCAGTGTCACTAGAGAAGAACCGGATGGTGCAGAGGAACAGAGCAACAAAAATTTGATTAAAATCAAATAACTAATAAGGGAGATATGAATTTTGTAAAAGGTATGGAAAACAATGAAAAACTTAGAAAATCACTACACAAATTCCATTCAAATAGGTCATTCAGATGTAATATCAGCAAACTCAGCACGTAATCTTGGAGTTCCGTTTGCTAGTGAATATGAACATAAATGACTTTGTATTAAAAAAACACATTTAAGTCCATCTCTTTTCATCTGCAGAGTATTAGTAACATTAGAAAGATATTTGAAGCTCTTGATGGAACGTAGAAAGAAGATGCCACTTCTTGAAGGATGGATTTAACAGGGTTTTTTTTTTCAATTGAAAGCAACACCAGTTCTAGAGCTGTCGAAAACAGTGGCCAGGCCAGTAGTCAACAACATGCCATCCTATGCATAAATATAATATAAAATCAGATCTTTTGGCATGGTACTGCGATTACGTCAAAGATTTTTCATTACTTGCCCAACTTGCCTAAAAATATATCTGCGTGCAAGCGAGTTTGTCTCCATCAAAATGACTACTTAGCATGACTGGGCATATAAATATTCCAAAATAGACACAGCTGAACCCAGAGACAATAGACTTTAAAAAAACAATGCAAGCAACATGGTCTAGTTCACTCACACATAACCAAAGAGCTATCATTGAAATATAGAGCTAAATACTTTAATAAGTCTGCAGAAGATCTCATTTTTTGGTATCTACATGTAGGTTTAAAAAAAGAGCAGAAATTTGTTTGTCCATTTAGATCTTATTCAATAGGTCTAGGCTTTGAGTAAGATTAGCTGGTAAGAATGGGGAACTTAAGGTTAAATGAACATGAGACTGGACTGTGAGCACGGAAAAAGAAACAGTTAGCCATTTCTTATGCAAGTGCTATCTCTTCCTTATAGAGAGCCATGCTTATTACAGAATCTGGCATAGAAAACAAAATAGCAATCCCAATACTAAATTCCACAGACATTAACCACCAACAGGCTCTGGTCAACTTTGTATCTAGAGCTAAAAGGGTACACCTGTACCCATACTAACCACCTTGCACCGCACTTAATTATTCAAGCTCAAGATGTTTCGCTTTTTTATAGTGAGTGATACATGAAGAAGAAGAAGAGGGAAAGAAGAAAAAAAGTAGAAAAGTAGTAAAGAAGAGAAGAGAGAACTGCCTATATTAACGTTTAGAATCTTCATGTATATTATATGTTTTTTATTGGTTTTGGGACAAATCTTGAAGAAATGTGGTGGAGACGTCTAGACTTAATGGTGGACGTCAGAGGGCCTAGGCTCAGCATTAGGCCGAGTTGAGAAACTTGTCACAACGTACTGTGTCTGAGTTGGTCCTTGGACGTCCAATATAGCCGATAGGCCTTTTGCTCGTCAGCCACTGAACACTTCAACTTTTAAAAAAATAGAGTGTAACTTTTAAGAATCTAATTTATCCTAATCTTTATATTAACTAAAGTATTAAAATCTAATTTGAAAGGAAAAAGATCCGAACAGAGGAGGCTTAGATATTCACTCCTACATGATAAATGCCTATAGACCAAAACAACAACAGTATTCAGATCATATCACATGGTCATACAAAAACACACTGGAATCATACAAAGACGTTCGACACACAAACCAGAAACACAGAAAGAAAAACTTATCAAGACTTTTACAGCTAGGTATAATCCACAGTTGGTGAAACTCTTCATCTATTTGATATTTTTATATACCAAATTATTCAATTATGTTAATAACATTATCAATTTTGCCCTTTTTTTTTGGGGGGGGGGGGCGAGGGATCTTTACGGAAGGAGTGGGGGTAATGGGGCAATAATGTTTGCCCTCCTTGGTGTATCCCATATCTCACGAGAATATTTTTGCCTTTCTGGATTTTACGACAGCTGCTCAAGAACAATTTTTGTTTAAACACATTCCAAATTCTTGACCTCTAACCTGGTTCCAACACTATGTTAAAACCACCATGTAAAATAATAAAGCCCAGAGCAAATGTTGCAGAAGCAAATATCAGATAACCACACTCTTGAGGTGCACCAACAATATGAATGCGCTTTTTGAAGCATACAACTATACGCCATTATTTTGGGGCTGAATATTTTTGGAATGTATGTTTAGATGCATAGACAATCATTTACAATTTCAGCTAATAATTCAATCAAAACTTATCATTTTTCATTATTGAGCATTGAGTCACTCTCTTGAGCAAGATGTTGTCTTGTAATTCTTTGCTTTATTTTTTTTTTTGGGGGGGGGGGAATATCTACATGTTCTGATATTTCATTTTTCTGAGCAATGTTTTAGATTATCAATGATGGATCAAAACATACCAGTAATAATTTTAAAACCATCAGAAAAATACCCCAAATTAAATTAAATCTAGCAGTCACACTAGGCCTTAGTCGCACCCTACAACACAATGAAAAATGAAATAAAATACCTATTTACCTATACAATGCAAAAGTTTCTACATATGATTTGGAAATGTAAATACAGACTCATCGCCACAACTTCACAACCATCAATCATGGCTACGACACAAACAAGACAGCCAAACCTCTCTTGTGATCCTCATTCTGGAAACGATGTAAGGTAATGACAATGGATGCTCTGCCCTGCTACCATTGCCAATGTTCTATGCATCCCTTGAATACTTGTGATCCTCATTCTGGAGACTATGTGAGGGGCGACGATGGATGCTCTGCCCTGCTGCCATTACCAATGTTCATTGCATCTAGTGAATAGTTGTGATCTTCATTCTGGAAACGATGTGAGGAGTGATGATTGATGCTCTGTCCTGCTGCCGTTTCCAATGTTCTCTGCATCCCTTGAATACTTGTGATCCTCATTCTGGAAACGATGTGAGGAGTGACGATGGATGCACTGCCCTGCTGCCATTGCAAATATTCTCTGCATCACTTGAATACTTGCACCCCTCTGCCGACCAAATTTCAAATGTTCAGATTACCAGCTATACTTTGATATTGTACTGTTCCTCAAGTATGAAAGGATCTGTTTCTCAAGCTCTGATCATGGACACTAGTATCCCTCGGTTGGGCAACTTCACGTTCAGATGTGCAGATTCTTTAAAAGGCATGTTGCAAATATTGGGAGTAGAATACCCATGGGCAGCTTAAATCTTTAGTTTCAGTTTCTCAAGTGGATGTAGGAAACTCTCTCCTTGGGGCAACATTGTTTTTGCAGCAATGCAACTCTTCAGAATCATGATGTCGAGATAACTGTAGGTATTGTGAAAGCAAAATGAACGTATGAAGAAAGGGGTAAATGTCAAACTCAAAGCCAACATACGAGAAACTGTTTTATTATGCATTATCTTTTGTATTGTGGCTATTGTGACAAAACGTATCTTTCAAGATGTTGAAACATTAAAAAAAAGCAATAGATGTACGAAAAGATTTTTTAAATTCATTATAAAAGAAATATGGTAATGAATTCAAAATATCATTAAAAAATGCCAATTTAATGGTTTCATTACAACAATCAATGGGAGCAAATCTTTTGATCTGCTTCACACCATTATTTTCTCTCCTCAATGCACAGAGGGAATTAATCATTCTAGCTCAGGAGAAAATATGATTTTGTATTGAGGATTTTAGCCAACCAGATTTATCAACACATCTTGTGCTTCAAAAAGTACTCTGATGACCATGTATATTTTTGTTTCAATATCACATAGTTTACAAAAAGTTTATCAAAAACTCACAACAAAGAGACGTGCATGACAAGGATCTGCTGGGGTATCCATGAAGACAGTGCACTAGGGATCAGAGAGCCAGCAGTAGATTCTGGACTCGGAATGATGTAGGCATGCCTAGGAGTGAGTGCTCTCTTGGTACTTCTGCAATACAGAATCTGTGGAAGGACAAGGAAAAATGTATGGAGTTAGATCCATGAAAAAATTCAATTCATATATTCATGAATTGTTTTCCAGCACGTCTATGGTTACCTATCAACTTGTGGTCTGCCGATTATTGAGAGCCAGAAGGGTTTTAACTCCAAAACTTTCACTCCAAGTAAAATGGAATGAATTTGCAACCTCATCCAGTGTAGCGATTAATGATACTGTTCTACATGTAGTGCATCTAAGAATATCTTAACACATATGAGAATAAATTGAGAAGCAATCGCTACATCCAAAGATCTTTAAACATACCTGTGGATCTGTAATGAGAGACGCAAGACATCTATATCATGATCGAGTCCCAGCCTAGCCAGCACCATGCCTTCCTTGAACCAGAGAATTTCCTCCTGTGTCCTCATAAGTGTGGCAATAGCAGAAAGTCGTGAGGTCCAAGAAGTTTCTCATCTTGCCTTGTAGGTTCATCACTTTGCTCTGTGGGTGATGCAAAGATTATATAAATGTTCCCATTTAAATTACACTGTCGATGCGAGTCAAAAGCAGGAAAATCAGTGTTCACAAAGTAATTTTTTTTTAATGGCCAACGATGGGGTGCGAGCATGACTGAAGATAGAGACTGTAATCTCAGATCCTCATTAGCAGTAGGGGCGCTGGTCCGAGAACGAGGATCGTCCTCATAAACGCTGACACGATGCATCCTCAAAAATGAGGATGGCCTGCATTTTCGCGGACATTTTTTTTCATCGGCACTCTGCGGGTTTCGGGTTACCGAACCGCCCGCTAGCGATGCCAAAATAGATTCCCTGGGGAACATAACCCTAGTTCACTGTCTACTTTTATGGGTTGTCCGCCTTCCCAAGGATTTATTGCTCATAATGTGAAGGTCTCTATACAAAGTCAATGTAAAATGCATCAAGAAAATCATCAGGGAATCCGTTTTTTGTATCACCAATGTGCCGATCAAAATATGAAAATGATCCTTATTTTTGAGGACGCATTGGTCGGTGTTTACTGAGACGATCCTCGTTTATGAAGTCGATCCTTATTCTTGGACCAGCGCCCCTACTGATTAGATTCATGTGAGTAATTTATCATTACGGTCCCTAACTTCACGCATGCGTGCGCCTCTACACCTCACCGTCAATACGCTATGCAATTGTAATAGGGTGTCTGAACGATTTTTCAATTTTCAATTTGGGATCGTTTTTCACCATTTTTGTTTGATATTTGAATAAAAGATGTTATCAGAATAATACATTTCAAATTTCAAGTCTCACCGATGTTTCTATCAAAAGTTACAGCCCCTTCAAAACGCTGGTATATTCATATCATTTTGGTCAAAATCGACGAAAAAGACGTCTACGCAGAGTGATGTTGTTTTGCTATATTTAGCCAAACAGCTGTATCGCGCGATATGCAAGCGTATGCATATCGTACGCATGCTGCTAAGCCAATCCGCGACTTGCAGCTTGAGCTACGCTGTCTCCGCGACATGTGCCATTGACTAGTATGGTTGGCGTTCGTCGCACAATAAACCCGGAAGTGAATGCACGTTATAGTCAATGGCAATATCGCGGAGATGTCTCCGCGATATTGCCATTGACTATAACGTGTATTCACTTCCGGGTTCTATGCCGCGAATGGCCACCCATACTTGAATTTGGGGTTTCGTTCGTGCGCGGAGATGTTACGCGATGTAACCATGGTTTGGACTGAGCGGAGCGCACGCCCCCTAATTAGCTGATCCACCAAATAGCGAGAAGGGTATTTTTAAACTGTTATCAGTTGTGATCCCTGGGGGCTAGCGAAAATATAAGCACATAGAATTGTTCCTTAGGACTGGGACTACTTATCGATCGGGGCGTCATATCTCAAAAGTGACAAACCTCAGAGTTAGCCAGGACACAATGTTTCAATTGCTGTTTTGACCAAGATATTTTTAGAATTTCGGGGGCTACGCCCCTTTAGAAATATTGGAATTTACCTGCTCTTTCATATGACACCTAATTTAATGATTATCACCTTCAGGATCACAACAGATAAAGGTTTGAATCTCGAATTGAAAAAAAAAAAATTGACTTTTTTTGCATGGTCGCGCAATGCACGTAGACTGCATAGGGATGCGTGTAATCTCTATGGGAAGAATTTTAGCACACAACATCGGGTGCGCGATCAGACACCCTAATTGTAATGTGCAACAATTTACAGTGAAACCTGTGAGAAAGTCTATTATAAATATGTCTTCTTTTAAATATTTTTTAAAAGATAAGAAACAGGGTAATAATCAGGGTAGATCTAAGAAACATAGATTCTAAGGACTTTAAATAATGACAGGCATTATTGGAACAATTGATGAAGATTTAGTCTTCTTCGTCTTCTTCCATTAGAGTACAGTCCGCCGTTGGCGTATTTTTATTATCGTACCTTGTGCTTGTCAAGTGCCGAGTGTACAGTGCAAATAAAAAGACTCTAGACCCTAACTTTAGACTACAAGAAGTCTAGTTGATTTTTGTATGGATCATATGGATTATGATCATGATGATTCTGAATTAGATCTAAACCCTAGGCCTAGCGCCTAAATTATAATTAGATCTAGACTCTAGACCCTAGACTATTATAAAAAAAACTAATTTTGAAATTTCTAGTACTCTACCTTCTTGTTATCAACGAGATGAAAGGGGCTGTATCAACATCAAAGCACACCAGCACAGCAATATCGGGGCTTCTCAGCTCTCTCGAGCTCTCACTGCACTGCACTCTCAGCTCCGAACATGTGCTCGCTTGTTTTTCCTCACCACCGCGAAGGAGAAATGACCGTCGGGAGGCGAGGGCAGCTGGCCTGGGAGAAATAGAGACGCTGTCCTTCACAGACTCAGAGAGCCGATACGAAATCAGTGCTTTCTTTGCACGAACCATTTGAAATAACGATGCTGTTTCACTGCCAAAAATATCACCAACATTGCTGTTTCAATTACATGGCTTGTTGAGATTGAGTGACGTACGTACGTGGCCGTGGTCGATCAAGCACCTCTTGAAATAGCTAGCTCATTTCATCTTGATCCTGCGCGCCCCTTGTAATAATTTGGATAGGCCTTGGCGATTATGAGGCGCCGTTTGTAGACCTATTATTTACACCAATATTATATTTAATTTAACAATTATTTATATGTGGTCTAATGCAACTAAACGTGTACAAGTATTGGATAGCCCAAGTATTTATAAATAAAGATTTCACGATATCCAATACATACAAATAATAAATTCCACTAAATTTGTTTAAATGATTGGATTTTTGTACAGTTTACATTGCTTGTAGAGAAAAGAGTTTCTTGAACTTATTATCTATTCAGAGGGAAGGGAAAGGGAAAGAGGAGAGCTAAAGAGGAAGAAGAAAAGAAAAGGGTGAAAAGAAGGAGATCGGTGCATGGGGGAGGGGTGGGAAAGGGCCTTCCGCCCAGGCCCTTACTCCCCCCCCCCCCCCCCTCCCAGCAAGCCCAAGAGAGAGAGAGAGAGAGAGAGAGAGAGAGAAGGAAGGGAAGGGAAAGGGAACATTGCTTGAAGAGAAAAGAGTTTCTTGAACTTATTTGTCTCTTCTTAAACCTACAATAAATGTTCTCAAATATGTGAAACAACTTATTGGTTTGCACACTTGTTTTAGCTTGAACTGTCAGAATGCAGGAGAAAAACGTTTATTATTGACTTGTACAATCAGGCGTGGATACAGTGGGGCCGAGCAGGGACCCCCCCCCCCCTCGCAAAAAGAGAGAGAGAGAGAAAGGGAAAGAAAAGGAGGAAGGAGAAAAGAAAAGGGGGGAAAGAAGGAGATCGGTGAGGGGGCTGGGGTGGGAAAGGGCCTTCTTCCCAGGCTGCTGCCCCCCCCCCCTCCACCAAAAGAAAAAGAGAGAGGGAAGGGAAAGGGAAAGAAGAGAGCTAAAGGAAAACAAAAAGAGGAAGAAGAAAAGAAAAGAAAAGGGTGAAAAGTAGGGGAGATCATCAACAATGCATGGATCTGGGGGGGGGGGGGGTGGATATCAGCTGCAATTTTCCAGATGCACTCACTGTGGATCGGGGGGGGGGGAGGCCTTCCTCCCAGGCTGCTTATTTGAAAAGGTATATTAATGAGAAATAGAAAGAAAGATAGAAAGAAAGAAGGAATAGTGACCTGCAAGTGTCACAAAGGCAAGCCCCTGGATGCTCATCTGATGGTTATTTAATGCCTAAAATCCCTGAGCTTCTAGCCCCCACACCAATTAGTGCTTGAAGATTGTTATTTAAATCACTTTAAATACTTGTTATAACGACCGAGTGTCAGGTAAAGGATTTGTTAATGGCATGCCTTTTTAAGCATGTGACCGTTTTCTAACAATCTGATGGTGTAACTTTCTTGTTCTTGTTCAGCTAACTCCACCCTTCTTTAATGATTGTTGAGTTTTGCTGGCTGTTATCTACAAGTTTAAGCCTACTTTTGCAGTAACAGCTTACTTCGTTGTCTATGTGCATTATTTACTGGCAACGATGGACAACTGATTTTGATGTCTGTCTACAGAACCTTGAATGGGCCACTAGTTCTGACCGGGGGGGGGGGGGGGGGGGGGGGGGGGGGGGGGGACCAAGCCAGAGGCGAGGGCGGGGCCAATTTGTAAGTTTTTTTTTTAGCTGTGAGCACTTATTTTGTTCATTTATTTTGCTAAAGGGGGGGGGGGGGAATATGGAGCATTTTCACCCTCTCCCACCCCCCCCCCCCCTGGGCCAAATTGTATAGGGTTCACTCACTATTCTACAAGGTGTTCTATCCACCTCCCAATCATTCTCTCCTATTTTTGGTTTCATATATTTAATGATCCCCTTTCTCTTTTAATTCTCTTTCTCTTCTTCCTAATCCCACTCTTTCTCCTTTCCCCTCCCTTCCTCTTCTCCATTATCTTTCTCTTCTTCCCCCCATTTCTTTTTGAATTTTCTTTCTCTTCTTCCTAATCCCACGCTTTCTCTTTCATTTTTTTTCCTTCCTCTTTTCCCATCTCTTTCTCTTCTTCCCTCCTTTCCTCTCCCATCATCTCTCCTTCCCCCTTTTCTCTTCATCCAACTCTTTCTCCCCTTCTCTCCAAAGCTCGAACAGACTGGTAAATGTAAACTTGTCATTTCTTAAGATCTTCCAAAAGACTGGGTGAGATTTAATTTAAAAATCCTGCTTCTCTGAAAACATATAAAAAATGACTAATTTAGGGATTTCAACAAGCCTTTTTGAATATATTGCTTTTCAATTTCAAGATATTATTTATGATATCACCCCCCCCCCCAAAAAAAAGAAGACAATAATGGACATGTCCATCATTCATATACCTCACCAACGAAGAGGCTGTTCACACCGCAATGAGATAGCGCGGTCTATCGTAGCACCCCCTTTTTTCTAGCGCGCGCTAGACCGCGCTATCTCTCGTGGACCACCCCCAAGAGGTGCTCCTGTGGCACGCCGTTTTGGCTCGCCGTGGCTCGCTGTTGGGCGGACCGAAACGACGTTGTACCTTCCAAACCGCAGAGATAGCGCGGTCTAGCGCGTGCTATCTCTGCCGGTGTGAACATCCTCTAATATAAGCAAGAAGAAAATTAAAAAACAAACAAAACACATAAACATATAACGAATTCTGTAATTTACAAAAATATAATTTATTAAAATTGCCAACCTACAACTCAGAAAGGCTTTGAAAACAAATACTCTTCTAGTTCCAGTATTACCAATCATTTGTTTAGAATACATCAATGTTTATACATTGAAATGTTACATGATCGCAAAGACTTTCGAAAATCAACCTAAAGCAATTTCAACAGCTTTGCCCATTACCACTTAAAATGTGGGACCATTGTCTATTACAATGAAATATGTAATCTGAACATGATTTCTTTGGGATATACATATACAATCAAATATATTCATTGTTAGATCATAGTACCAACTGTACATGTAATGAAAAGCAATTTTACACACACATACATAAATAGGATTGCATCTTTTAAGAACTAGATTATGAAATAATAATGGTCATTTTGTATGCATGTTTGCAAATAAACATGGAAAAGAAGGTATACATGTATACAGTCATACACATTACAAATTTAAGGAAGACATAAGAAAATACAAACACCCCCCCCCCCCAAAAAAAAAGGTCTTTCATATTCATAACATATATTTCACCCCCATTATTTGTAAAGGATTTATGCGCAGGCACAGATTTTGAAAATGTTATCCAATTTAATTTACTTTGTACTCCATGGTGACTATAGTGATTTTAAATAGTGATTTAAAACAAAAGGAGGCAACATACTTACTCATACATTTAAAGTAGAAATTAATACAATTTAAGGAGTTATATATCTTAATAGCAGAACCACACCTTAAAAAAAATATAACATAGCGAACAAAAATTTAACAGTTTTATCATCATAAGAATAACGGACATATGGGTCAGGAATTTAAAAGAACCCTCATGAAACATACATAAGTGATTATCAAACTATTATTCAAAAAGACATGAATGAAAACTGACACAACACTGAATATTTTGCAATTTGCAAAAACATCTTGCTATGAAAATGTCAGACGCTTAGTTTTTGCCATAGTTTCACTGCTCTAAGAATTCTGGTTTTACCATAGAAAAGATACATATCAATCGCACAACAAAGACATCTCGCATCCTTTCTATACAAAGCACTTTTTTAAAAATTTGTAGTAATTTTGTTTATTCCTCCAAATGTATCACAAACAAGAACATACAATTGAATAAAATAAATAAATGTTTTCAATTTTAATTGCTCATACATAAACATGATTTAACAAAAACTGATTTGCAGTATATATAGCTGAGCAACACACTAAAAGTACATAAACATAATTTATAAATCAATTGTACATGTTATTCACTCCATATACAAAATCTGGAGGTTATTTTACTGGTACAAGGAAAAAAAGTCCACACCAGTGCACATATACACATACACACCGGGTCATCCACGCAAACAAAACACACATCCCCCACACATGTTCACACCCTCCAGAAACATTCTACCCACAAAATGTGATACTTTCCCCTATAGGCAAATATCACATATTTACTATGGGGTTCATTAAAATAGGTCTAAAATGGACAAGCAAACTTTATTTAACAAAAGAAGAAAAAAGAGACATACAAAGTTTCCCCAATTCATTTCTATTGAGTAACTTTGAATAATTCCGGTATATTTGTAGACATGTTTCATTTTGTGTGTGTTTTCTGTTTTCTATATTGTATATAATCTGTGTCTTATGTGTTTTAATACGGGTAGCTTTCATGAAAGGGGGCAGAGCCTTAGGGAAATTTGAATTCCATCGATATAAGTTAATTCGGAGTTCAAACACTACAAACATTTTGTAAAGAAATTGTTTTGGCACAACATACGGGAATAAATGAATAGCATAGTGGATTTAAATGGTCTGGAGTATAGCAACATCTATCTTTCTATCTGTATTAATTTTCGGCCCAGCAATATGCGAAGCTGCCCTGCCATGTCTCGGTTGAGATGACCCTGAAGAGGAAAGTAGTAGACTTCTCTGTTTCTACTGACACTGCAAACTCAGCCCAAGTGTGATTCAGTTTGTTTGGACAAAAAGAAAGATGCACAGTGAAAAAGATGCTCCTGATTTTGATATGAGTTTATTTTGTAAATGTTCAAGTAGGGAGGATTTGTGTTTGAAATAAGTTGTTTACTTTTTTGTATCAGTTATTCATTCTTTTGTTAAGTTATTGCGAGTTATATTTGTTGTTGTTTCAGCTGCCATAAATTAGGAACTGCTTTGGTGGACTAGTCAGCATCAATATTCAGTTGATCTGAAAGTCAAAGATTTAGTAATTTTAGTGGAACCAAGTAAGTTGTACATCATGGCAAATGAAGATATTCCATTTCATTTGTTGGAACCCTTTGAGAAGAGGAGACATTACAAGGAATTCATTTGAGCAGCAGTTGTGTTAAATAACACTTCCAGTGCAGGCCAGGAGGCGAATTTTTTTTCCGTACTCGAGAGAGCAAAAATCCCATGTGCGCATGCGCGTGGACTTATGATTTCTCTGCTACTTCCCATACGAAATGTACATGTATTCGCATGTACTGTGCACGATTCGCGTTCTACGAGTAAACGATGGCATAGTAGTCTTCAAACACAGACTCTGATTTGCCAGTTTGACAAATCAATATGCGTATGTGTCGCGATGTGCTTATTCAAGTCTGTGTAGTTGTATGATTCAGACCCAGTAGTGCATATGGAAATACATTGCAACTTGTATAGAATGGTATAGTAGTCTGCAAGCACAGACGCTAATCTGACAGTTTGACAACATACTAGTAGTGTGCTGAGAAGTACTTTATTCAAGTCGCCAACTTGTATAGAATGGTATAGTAGTCTGCAAGCACAGACGCTAATCTGACAGTTTGACAACATACTAGTAGTGTGCTGAGAAGTACTTTATTCAAGTCGCCAACTTGTATAGAATGGTATAGTAGTCTGCAAGCACAGACGCTAATCTGACAGTTTGACAACATACTAGTAGTGTGCTGAGAAGTACTTTATTCAAGTCTGCGTAGATGTATGATTCAGACCCTACTGGTGCGTGCGTTAGAAATGCATCTCAATGTGTAGAGTGTAGTATAGTAGTCTGCAAGGACATAATAATATATTGTGTATTGATGAGTAGTGATTTTATGCAAGTTTGTGTAGTTTAATGATTCCAGACCCCATGGTAGGCCTATGTATTGTGCCACTGCTCTCTCACACTCTTTCTCTCTCTCTCTCTCTCTCTCTCTCCATATCTCTCTCTCTTTCTCTCTCTCTCTCTCTCTCTCTAGCCCTCCCTCCAGTATGCTCGCACTCTCTGTATTACTTTTATTTATAATCATGGTCTGCTGAGAGCCAGAACGATGTTAACTCTTAACACAACGAATGCCCTTCTGGCTCTGAACAAACCCACACACCATGAGGTCATTTATTGGCCTTCTCAAAACCGTCATTCTGTAATAATATTTCTAACTTTGGTCTAATAACTCCTTTGTCAGTATAATCCATGGTCAAATTAATAATAAAATCGTGATAGAACAAACACACATGATGAAATAAATGATTCAATCATCTTGATTGTGGGCACGAACGGAAAGACAAAGCAAGACAAATATTCAGTAGTAAAATTGATTCGACACATTCCGCACTTAGGCCTAGCCTATAATGTTTTCTTCTTCAGAAATCAATAAAATTGAATCTGGTGTAGCACTATAGGCCCAAAATATTGATGCTCAACGGAGTTATTCATTTTATCCTTTTTTTCCCGTCTAGATCTAGGCCTACTCCTATATCGAAAAAGAATTCGACTCAGAATGCCCTGCTCTTTATTATTACAATTATTTGTTTAATATAGGGCCTAGGCCTAAGTTGTCATTATTTTTATCATGATTTGTGACCAGACTCAGAATTTCACGTGCCGGATATTTGCCGTTAGATGTGTGCATGCATTTTGACGCCAATGGAAAACAAATTTGTATCTAAACAGTTAGATGACCCCCTATTTTATTACCCGATCGAGAGCTATTTTGTACATAGTTATGTAATGCTGCACAGCAAATTAGCTAGCGCATACGCGATACGTACGTACCCAAATCAGGGCACACACGTGCGCTCGATGCCCATAGCAATGCCACCGCAATTCATTGGATGAAAGTTCACGCTTCCACCATGACGTTATCATTGTGTGCTTATTGTAATGCTAATCAGGATCCAGGGTCTTTAGGCGATTTAGAGGTAAGTTCAAATTTATTAGGTGACAATACCGTTATTAGCAACAATAAACACAATTTAGATCTAGAATTAACTTAATAAACTACTAAGTTAGACTAGTCTAACAGTTCACGACCACATTGTTCACGACACGCGGAGGCTCAGTCCATGACCATGTGAATATGGCATGCCAAAAAAAGAAAATTGAATTAGATCTAGATCTAACAGTTAGAGTCTAATTTAAAGTTAAATCCTAGACCGAAGGTGTATGTGGGGGTACTGGTTGATTAATTTAACTACAACAACAGCAACAACTTAACTAACTACATGTAGTAACATTTAGATCTGGGGTTAATGATCTTAACTTAAAGGGAAAAAAGTAGCATCATATTCATAACAAGTTAGACTTCTAAAGTTAGAGTCTAACGTTATAGATCTAACGTTATATTCCTGTCTAGTAATAACTGATTGATTAAATCATCACAAAACATTTACCCCATCATCAGCATCAGTCGTCACATTGTCATTCATAATTAGAATCAATTAAAAGTAAACTAAGACTAAGAACCTAGCTGGCAATCTCCTGAACTTAATTATGAATTTGTTAAAGTTTTAATTTTGTGATGTCACTTGCAAGCTACATTCCAGAAGGATAGATCTCTAACTTAGGCTGCGTTCATGCTTAAATTTTGAAGGCAGAATGAGCGATCTGAAACGCTCATCGTAAACGCTCATCGTGATCGCAGTTCCACGATGTAGTGTTCATGCTTACTTCTCTGGCTCCCCAGGCAATTCTCCGTGTGTGGCCTTAATTGGTCTTCCAGCTGGATTCGCAAACCTTCACTGTGCATGCTACGTAGACCCACTAGAGGTCAGTGCGTTGACCCCATTTAAACGCGTTTACAAATTGTAAATGCATCTTTTTGTGAGTTTACGATCGGCGATCGTGATCGCCGTTTTTCGGTGATTCTACAAAAGTGAGCTAAGACGCAACCGTGTTTTAAACTAAACGCGTAACAGATGCCTGATTCAGGCCGTCAAAATCAAGCATGAACGCGCCCTTAGACTCCAGATCGATCCATATTACCATTTTACCTGTGCATTTGATATTATATCATTAGACACATGTTTATACACACACCTCTATGAAATAGATAGAATCTATATTCCTTCATAAAAAAAAACATGAAAAAGGGCAAATTAATGCCAATGGAATTTACAATGGGAAAGCAGCTCGCAAACTTTAAAAATTCATAACCTATGTTTACCTTTGATGGATTTTAGTCAAACCTTCACTGATATGTTTATCTCATTTTTCTGCTTTTATTGAATCCAACTCAACTTCAGGGTGTACTTCCCCTTTAAACACAAGTATAGAGGGTCCACTTGTTTCACTTTGTGCCTTTTTTGTGGCCATTTAGTTTTGGAATGTGTTTACATTACCCACCAATGTCCTTCATCATGTCATAACCCCTGCAGCTTGTTCATCACGGGAGGGGGGGGGGGGGGCGGGGGGAGGGTTGCCCCTCTTTCTCCCTGTATGGTTGTGGGGAGGAATATAATGTATGTTGTTATTTACGAAAGTTATGTATGCTCAAGAAACTCCTTGGTATGCTCAATGGCTGCTCCCTAGAATACTCGCCTTCTCCTTCACACCCCGCCCCCCCCCCTCCTTCCCTACTTCCTGTCTCCCCCTAGCCTTTTGACAAGGCCTCGTGACTCTAAGCGGCTGAGATGAGTCTAGATACCCGGAGTGAACGCGCGACCGAGTGACGGAACGTCACGAGGCCTTTTGAAAAGTGGGTTTCACTGCTGCGCATGAATTATTCATAGATACATATTAACATGCCAATACGCCTACTTTGGATTTATTGACCAATCAGAACGGCGATCTCCCAGTTGGCTTCGTTCGTGATTCGTTCCATGTAGAGGTCAGTGGTCTTAGCACGTACGTAATAGTTCATAGCATGTAGGTCCATGTTCGCACTACGTAGAGTTTACTGTGTGTGTGTGTGTGTGTGTGATGGATACTATATGCTGACGTCGTGCGAGGATACGTTCGCTGATTGGACGCTCTATTTTCTGGAGCGAATTCTAGTCGGAAACAAGGGTTTACATAAGAAATCCAAATCAGATTGATAAAGGCCACTAGGATGGGCTCCTCGCTCTCGCGTTCACTTGGGTTTTCGCGATTAGTCTCGTTTTAGTCGCTCGGCGTCTATCAGACAAGTGGCCTTGTTTAAAGGCTAGTCTCCCCCTTGTCTTCATGTAAGTATATCCTGGTGTGAGGGTATCGACTCGAAGTCATAAATGAGACGAAGCAGTTGTTGCGGTTCTATTGGGTGTGAGGCCAATCTTTATTATTACGATGTTCAACTAAACAAAAGAGGGTAGAAGACCCTTGACTGCATGAAGTCACTTCAGTTGCTGTAGAAAATTAAAAGACACAAAAACTACAGTAAGTATTGCATCATTATGATCACAGATAATTACTTGCTACATCTGCTTTCCAGATCATCTTCCATATTATACAGTGTATGCAATTTAGTTCATACATGTACATTGTATATATATTGAGTTTACCTCAGCCTATGAAATTCATGTAGTAAATAGATCTGCAATGAAGGCCACTCCCTATTTATTACTTTCACATATATATAACACAATTCTCCAAATGAGTGAGCTATCATAATTATTCTATCAGCCTTAAGCAATATAGAAACATACTCCAACTAATCACGATACAAATGCAGTGGGACATGGCATCTACCAATATTTAGGTCACCTCATCTCTAGAGAAGATTGCAATATTTGCTATCTGTAATTAGTTATTAAAACATTTGCATACCCATGTGAATTCCACAAGAAAACCAACAGAACCTATCTTTATGAATACAAGGCTTACCAAAAAGCAGTTATATACTAATAATATCTTACTGACACGCCTTTCTAGCATTAATAGGCGTGACTCAATTACTACCAGCATGCATCCTTCATGTAAATTAAAGTTAAATCTTCCTCTTCTTCACACAGCTCATAATCTATCCAATTCAACTCCTCAGCAAATCTTAACATCAGAGAGTTAATTATATACTGTACTCACATATTAAGGTGTCCAAAACCAACTATAGACATCAAGAATATCAGGATGAGACATCAATTACAGCTTCATGTACATGTAGTAGGCACAGCTACAACCAGTCTCATCTCTGCTCACTGCATGTATGAGCTTTAACCTGCATGCAGTGAGTGTATGTCCACTGGGGCATATCACTCTTCTTTAGTTAGGTACATTCCTTTTACCCCTGACTAATTTGCATTATAAAGAAAGAGCTATTTCTCATTCCCTCACACTGGCAAAACCACTGTATCCTTGGACACATTCAGTTTATTGCCATTTAACTCCCTTGCTGGAGATATAGTTAACCTTGTATAAATGGAAAGTTTTTTAATACTCCATAAAAATGCTAAGTTGTTGAAGCTTGGAGGAAATTTCCTCCAAGGTTGAAGAGAAATAATTTTAACCAGCTAGGGACTGCATCAATTAATAATTGTTACTGAATGATATCGATATTGGTTTATCTTTATATTTACTAGAGTCTAATCATTGAATATTCATGATAAATTTCTGATTTTCCTTGGGGTGATATTGATATTAGTTTATCTCTTTATTTACTAATCCTTGACTGCTCATGGGAAATTTCTAATTTTCCTTGGGATGATATTGATATTAATTATCTCTTCATTTACTAATCATTGAATATTCATGATAAATTTCTGATTTTCCTTGGGATAATCAAATTCAATTTTCTTTTTATGTCTTGTCTCTTTTTTAGTCATTCCTGCCATCACAATTTAAACATGAGGTTTGTAGCTACGAGACACTTGGTGGGGAGAGCAACTTCGAATGTATGCTGAGAATGAAAGTAAATAATCAGGATGAGGTTCAAACCTGGTTGGAAGCTTTCAAAAGCAGAACTGATTCAGTGACTTGGAGGCTGGCAAGAACATATCCAGACGCTGGTCGTTTCAACAGTTACAGGGTGAGATGGCTTTCAAATTACACTTTATACTGTAAACTCAATCAAATAAAGGACAATATGTTGGGCATTCTTTTTTTTATCCTCTGGGCAAAAAAAAAAATAAAAAATTGAGACTCGATCTAAATCTAAATCTGCATGGTGACCGAAAACAGAGAACAACAATAATCTTTAAAGATCTATAGTTTTGACCATGCAAGGAAAGGCATTTGATTTTAGATGTCAGAGGCTGGTAGAAATGATAATGATAAGAATGCATTCTGAAGAATTGAGGAAATGTTTTTGTCTTTTACTTTTCTTTTTAAGTTGTCAATTTCAATAGACAACTTAATTCTCTGCAATGATCATGTTTCTGTTTATGGTTACGTTTGTCTTTCCTAATAGTGATTGCTCGTTTTATTCTTTATTTCTAATTCCATGCATGAAGTCCTTTTTTTCTTGTTCTTTTATGACTGAAGGTGGTGCCGGAGGCATATAACATTTTTTGTTGTCGTCCTGCTTTCCCGTTATCGCAATATTACAAGAAAAAGATTATATGAATTACAAAATTGATGATAGTAATTAGTGTGTATAACACTAGACCTATAGGCAAGAAGCAATCTGATTAGACTCTGGAGTAAGTATAAATGGTCAAGGGTCACAGTGGTCATTTTCTTAAGTAAATGGTTTTAAGGGCAGAGGCATGTAGGAGACACATTTGTATTTGTCTTGTTTTGTTTCATGTTTAAGGTTGACTTGCGATGCCAGCACAATACCAGACACACATCCAAACCTGGAAAGAGAACCAAAGATACCAAGTGCCCTGCCACAATGTCCCTTGTTCTGAAACGGTCCATTAAATATTCCAGGTATGCTTTTAAAATGAATTTCAGTCTTGTAAGTAATTATTATGTACCTTAGTGTTGCAATTGATGATAATTTACCCTTTAACATACAATTTGTATTGTACTCTGGAGAAAAAAAAAAGAAACATATTAGACAGTGGAGGTTTCAGGAAAATTGATAGTAATAAGAAAATTAGTCCTTGAAAGTTGAGATCACTAATATGTTATAAAAGTCCATGAGCAATGTGGTCACTGTGTGTGATGTCATGCATGGATAACTTTGTAAAATATTATTCAAAATATTCTTTTCCCAATACAACAGACTTGTTGTCCACGGTGTATGGCTAACATATTTTTACATGTCTTCTCATCGAAAGAATATCTGGTCTACAAAAAGATTTGGGGAAAAATTAATATAAATGGGTACAATTAAAGGAAATGTAATTGTTTTCCCTGTATAACACATGATCATGGTCGCATTACCAATGTGAAGACTAGTGGTCTCAACTTTTAAGATGTCATATCATTCTCATTCATTGGCTTATTTGTTTGAAATGTTGTGTTTCTCTTATTTCTTTCTATTCATCCAAGCCAAATTTTTCTTGATCATGATCATTTTCAACAAATTTGGTGACTTTTCGTAAAATTTTGTGGTTGTATGACATTTCGTGTTGCCATGGTAACCACAAATTGGCAACCATGTCACTGAAATAATATTCATTTTGACAATTACTTCACAAAAATGTGGAGGATATGAAAGACTAATTTGGGTCAAAATGGTATGCATTGTGCACAAATAAAGTTCCTGGCAGATAATTTGATTCTTATCAATAATTTTACTTATTTTTCGTCTCAATTTGTTTTCTTTTTAATTACAGTATGCTGTCTTTGGATGAATGAATATTTTGATTAATGCTGATATTATTGTAAAGTAACAAATAGAAATAATATGACCACTCTTATTCGGGTGACTTTTGACTAGGTCCAAAAATCCTCACATCACGGCAGGACTTCTGTTCACTGTTACCTTGAGGTTTGAACACAACCATCCCCTCTCTTGCGCCAATGCTGTTAGGAGGAAAGACGTTTCTGAAGCCACCGTTGCCAAGCTGAAAACCTTGTTCGAAAATGGACACTCTCCCTCTTCGGCGCTTGATACGATGAAGCATGACCTCCAGGAGGTGCACGGAGACCAGTACGTCTTTGTTTCTGCAGACCGCTCTATCTGCCCAGACCTTCATTTTTGCTACAGGCAAGTCATCAAAGCTAGTACATAGATCAATCTTAAGAAATCTTACAAGATTTAAAACCTCAAAATTAGGAGTAGGGCCTATACATGCAATATTTTTATACCTCCGCCACCGAAGGTGGTGCCGAAGGCATCATGATGTAATAGTATTAGGGTTGTCCGTCCGTCCTGCTTCCCTGTTACCGCGATATCTCAAGAACCACTTGAGATATAAACTGCAAACTTGATGAGATCACTACAGCAAGACAATCTGATTAGATCTTCAGAGTAATTAGGTCAAAGGTCACATGGGCCAATTTCTGAAATTATTGGTTTCTATCTTTTCTCGTTGTTTTTACCCTTCTACCATCTCCTCTTTCTATCTTTCCTCGTTGTTTTTACCCTTCTACCATCTCCTCTCATTGCTTTTACCCTTCTACCATCTCCTCTTTATATCTTTCCTCTTTGTTTTTACCCTTCTTTCATCTCCTCTTCTAACCATGGTTGTAAAATTTTAGGGCCAGAGGGAATTCCGTAGCCTGGGTTCTGCAAATTTTATGTTGATAATACAAAATGTGATTATTCATGAAAGCAATTCTGAATAGAAAAAAAGTAGTCTTTAGCAAATTGGTTACTAGATTATGAAACATACCTATTAGATAATGAAACATAATCTAGACCATGTAGATTGCAAGATGAAATGTTGGAAACATACAAACAAAATTATTTGTCATCAATTTAAACAGGGATACATTATTTTTTGTGTGCAATATTGAATTTAGGTTGTTTCTGTCCTGAAAACAAAAACTTCTTTAAAAAATTCATGGGGATTAAGGAAATAAATTCATACCAACATTTTAATATAAGAAGAATTGAGAATATCATCGCCTAATGAAAGTATAATTTTTTGCCTTCAACAGGTTTTACTACAAGCTATTTGAGCAATCATACGGCGCAACATCTGGTGAGCAAATGTATGTAGATCTGGAGAGCAGGATACATCAATATAATGAAGAACAGCACCAGACGTGTGCAAAAATTGAGCAGACATCGGACAACCAAACTGTCATTGCCATATGTACACCTGTCATGAAACGAGTGCACGGCAAAGTGAAACACAGTGGAGAGATGGTTTTTGTTGACTCTAGTGGTAACTGTGACAGGCATAATAGCCGGATTTTCGTAATGTTAACTCATTCATCTGCAGGAGGGCTGCCACTAGGGATCGTAGTGACGACTTCAGAATCGCAATCGACCATAACAGCTGGTTTTGACCTCTTGAAGTCTATACTACCTGAGGATGCATTCCATGGAAGAGGTGTCAATGGTCCTCAAGTCGCCATGACGGATGACTGCAAGTCGCTTCGTCAAGGACTGCATGCAGTTTACCCAGAATGCTCATTGATACTGTGCGTCTTCCATCTTCTGCAGGCAATGTGGAGGTGGTTGTGGGATGCGCATAGTGGCATCCGAAAGCAAGACCGTCCCTATCTTCTCAGACTCTTCAAAAGTCTTGTGTATGCTGAGAGCCTTGGTGACCTGAATGCACGGCAAGATCATCTGGCGAATGATGAAATCGTTCGCAAGTATCCCAAGTTCCGGGCCCATGTAGACACGGTATACCAGAGACGTGAGGCGTGGGCACTGTGTCTACACAAGGAGCTACCAACGCGAGGGAATGTGACCAACAACTTTGTAGAGAGCGCTATGAGGATCATTAAAGAGAAGGTCTTTCAGCGCTTGAAGGCGTACAATGTCACGCAAGCGGTGCACTTTCTCTGCACCCGGATGGAAGACTACTACATTCGTAGGCTGATCGATGTTGCCAACAACAGGATGGCTAACCCTTCCCAGTCAAAGTACAATGCACGCGATGGTGATGTCAACTTGGACAATATCGTCAAGGTAAACAAAAAGAATATGAGAATGCAGCGTTTCAATTAACTTATTGTGATAATTTTTTTAAACAGATAAAAGGTATAGTCATGGTTGATTTGTTAATGAACAATACATCTTTATTTTCATCAAAGTTATTGACTAATGTAGATGAAGATCAAAGATAGATATTCAAAGGATAAGTTTATTCCCTTAACTTTTATTATAAGGACATTATGTTTGAACTTCAATTTACATACAGCGAAGTGAGATTATCATTTAAAAAAAAAAAAATTAATTGATTACCATAAAGATTTAGTAATCATGAAAAATAATTTTCACTTTTAAACACACATTATATTTTTGTCTGTCTTGCATGATCTCTTTATATACCTCTCCCCTTTCTTTCATCTCTCTGATATACTTTCTTGTTTTTAATTGTCTTATTATTTGTAGGAAGGTGACACAAGCTTCACTGTACCTAGCGCATCATCAGGGAGACTGTATGTCGATATTTTCTTGGGTACATGCACCTGTCCGATTGGAATCACCGGTGGACCATGTAAACATCAGAGTGCAGTCACAAAGAAGTTCCATGTTGAGAGCACAAACTTCTTACCAACATTTTCACCTAATCTGAGGAAAATGTATTATATCATTGCAACAGGTAAACTCAATAGTGACAATTGATGTACAGCTATAGAATTCGGATTGTTCTTTTTATTTGGAAGAACACATAGAAAACACAGTTCAACTCTTTGATAATTAATGGACAAGTTGATAGTGGTAGGGAGAGTGTACTGTCTTTTGTTAATTTTATAATACAGTCTACTCCAACTATAACAGGCATGCATGATACAGCGGGTGCATGATACAACGAAATATTGTTATAACAAGGTGATTTCCCTGGTCCCAGTTTCAAACATGGCACATGCATGTTTCTATATGTGCTTTTGTGTTCATTCTAGCAACATTTTATACGGGAGTGGACTGTATTATACATGCAATATCAGCAAAAATAGCACATATTGTTACTTTGATCAGGCTGTCACAGGATGTTATGTTACAATGGAGGATGTCTTCACTGGAACTCGAATGAATGTGAAAACCAAGTGTACATGTTTATGTGAAACCTTAAAACAAGTACAGTACCGGTACCAAGGAAAGACCATATACCTGTAAGTGGTCTATCAGAAAAATAAATCAAAATGTAAAAACAAAAAAGAAAGAGGAGCAGAGGCAAAAATTAAAACCCCAAGTTTTATGCAAGTATGTGTCTGTTTTATTACCAAATTGAAAATAAGTAAACTTTAGATAGATAATGGAGAAATTGAAGTCTTTCATGAATAAATAAACCATTCTCTCTCTTAAAATATGTGTATATAATAATCCTAATGTTTCCATAATAATTGATTCAAAAAGTGTACACATGATTGTATGAGAATTAAGTCTGACCCTATCTATTCCGGTGTCTATTATATTGTCATGCAGGCAGAGATGATATACCTGATGATTGGTTCGCTAGTCTCCACAACGCTGATGATCAAGTTCCATCCAATGAGCACCAGGGGGACGATATGATGGGCCCAAGCACATCATCCATCCAAGATCCTCAGATACGTGCGATAGAGTCTCTGGGATTACAAAGGTCTTTCGACAATTCGTTTTCACAGAGGGGACGAAGGATCGAGACATCTGTTGGCGATGAAGATCTTTCTCAAAAGCTTCACAACTTTGTCGATACTCTAACAACCAAGCTGAGAGAAGATGGTGATTCTTTCAGAGGCCCCTTGACTAAGTTTGTCCGACGCGTTGAGAACATCACCACAGATAGCACTCTCATATCTGCCTTGGTAACATTTGGCAAGTACAGTGGCTATGCGGTTTCTAAGAAAGCAAAACGTGGCAACAGATCCGGCCTGCAAACTTCCACCCAGATTGGGGTGCAGCCCACTGCTGTAAGCAGGCGAAAGGCTGCTTTAGGTGGAAGAAGGGCATTAATTACTGGTCGCCCTGTAAAAATTAATCAAAAGGAGCATGGTTATGCTAAGGTGCAGAAGCGTGGTTCTGCAGTAAAGAGGGGTGTGCTTCCCCAAAATCCACGGCCTGCATCACATTCTCTATCTCATTGTGTTGAATCAAATGTTACACTGGGTAAGAGGCATTCAGCTGGGCATTAAAAGTGTTAGTTTGCCATATACATGTACATGTACGTTGACCGAGATATTCTGGAATTCATGGATGTAATATTTATTTTGTTGCATTTGAGGACTATATGTAGTACGTGTATTACAGTAATATGATCTTTACGTTTGATTATTGCCTGTTTCTCAGTTACAAAATAGTGTAGACAAAGCTAATTAAGATCATCTATTACACTTGATCTCTAGCCGCAGATGGACTGTGAGAAAAATCTTGAAAATTTACAGTCCCATATTTAAGTAAACATAATATCTCCTTTTATATATTTCATACATCTTTTCCAAGTTCAGCGGATTTTTGCACAAGAGTTTCGAATGATAGATAGATCCCCACCCAATTTTTTTTTAAACCTTAATTTTGAAGATTTATAACTTCCATGCGTATATATCTTTGCAAGCTGTCGGTGAAAACAATTTGACATTAGAATAAAATATTTTCTTTTAATCTTGTCCACGTTGGATTGAGCTTGCCCTGACATTTAAAATGAGCATTAGAAACATAAGTTTCATAATGAAACAAAAAGGAATTAAAAACAAAGGAATGAAATGCCAGTTTATGGGTAATGATATTTGAATTTAAGGACCCTTTTGGCTCAGAATACAAAGCGCTACTATTATTACCCAATCATTATCATATCATTATCGTAGCTGCGGCATCCAAGATAACTAGTCACTCAAGGAATTCATTTAAACAAGGTACCAATATATGGATCACCTGGGTCAAGTGTGGGAGATACAGGTTAATGTAAAAGGATCTTCGTAGTGCTGTGGCATAAAGGTAAAATCACCAAATTGAGCTGAACGTGTTGAGTTTAGAAATAGTTAATGAGGCACAATACAACCCTTGCTATATTAGCTTATAGTATTAATAGGATTATTGCTCAGTTGCATCATAATCTAGAGAATAGTTCTCTAAATTATGTGTCATTTACATATATTTGGAATATTTGCTTTTCATATTAAAGCGAGACCGAACTAACCCACACTGTGTGTGGGCTCTAATAGGGTATGTATTATAAAAGCTAGTCTTATAAATATGCCTTTTTAGATAACTATTGACAATACATATATATTTCAATGCTTTATTCAACATAAAGTCAATACACACACTATAATCTCCTGATAAGGGGATTATGCTGATAAGAGAGTCTGCATGGTTGAGTGAATCAATGAACACATGTAAAACACACTGTTTACAACCACAATTGGGCATATATTATAAGACTACTCTTATCAGAATGCACGTTAGGAAACAGGACAGATGGGAAGTTTAATACTCAAGGTGGAGCTTTACAGGGCTTCTGGTTCACTGTGGCTTTAAGACTTTTTATTGTACATGTATTGTTGATAGCTCAGTCAATAGAACAGAGGTCTTGTAACAGTTCCCTAATTTGAAACCAAGTCGATCTGTGCGCCAATTAATGCCCTGATTACCATGTCTCAATAGGAATTAGAGCCATCTTTTCCCTGGTCGCAGGTGGGTAAAATAAAACGATATGTTTGTATGTGCTATAATTCATTGTTATGTACTGATCTATCCCACCACTTGGTTGTGTTCTGTGTAACCAGGCAAGATAACCGAGTAGGCAGGGAAAAAGTACGTTTTGGCAATACATAAAGGAACAGCTTTCGCGTAATTTGAGCCAGAGTTTATATGGTACATACTAGACGTACAATATTTTATTAACATTTTTCTAAGGTGTTTGCATAAATCCAACTTCATTAATGGATTAGACTGAACTTAATTGTTGAATATTTGTTACAAACTCAACCAACTTGCTAAATAAAGGATAGTCTTGCTGTGTTAGCAGATATGATAAAGTTTAAGATTGAATATAATTTGTAAATTATGTCAGTGAATTGTGGGAAATTGTTGTTATAAATGCCCAAAAGGTATATAGATTAAGGGGAAAGCTATCCGTTAATGACTGGTGGCAATGAAATTGTCAAAAGGAAGAGTAAATATTGACCTGGTGTTATTGCATATGAGATTTTGATATTTGAATAACATACGCTCCATAATTGAATCTAGGATTCATAGATCACCTCAACAATTCTCAATCACTTTGTTTCATAGGTATTTTTAGAAGCACTATATGTGGTCAAGTTCAGTACCACAGTTATTTGTATATTATGGTCAAGGTCTCTATCACATTAATTTGTGATGACACTCTATATATTTAAAGAGTTGACAGGGCAGGGACATCAGAGAAACTGAAGACTGACAGTGTGAACATTTAGGGCATGGACATTTTTTTTTGGGGGGGGGGGGGGCGGCGGCGGCGGCGAGGGGTATTTTTCCCCAAATAAGCACTACTATGAAATTTTTTCTTCTTCAGGGTGTTCTTGTGTCCTGCAATCCTAAAGACCATTTAAGTCATTTTTAAGAATATGTTTTACCAGGTAATTTAAAAGAATTAAAAAACTTGCCTATGTTTATATTTTACTGCACTGTTGATTCACGTTTGATCATTGTCAAAAACACTCATTTGATGGTAGAGCTCATGTACGATTGTATGCTAATTAATAACTTTTTAATTCAGGCCTTCATTTAAAATTAAGTGGTGTGGCGTGTATGGGTGTGTGTGTGTGCTTGTGCTTTAATAAAAGAGATACTTGTAACTTATACTAAATGTTGTTATCAATTTTAACATAATAAATCAATACAAAGGACGGAAACTAGATAAAAATCACAATTTTATTATTCATTCGACCATTGATTGCACTGACAAAAGAGTTATTAGACCAAAGTTAGAAATATTATTACAGAATGACGGTTTTGAGAAGGCCAATAAATGACCTTATGGTGTGTGGGTTTATCATATATAGGCCTACTATCGTTTGTTCAGAGCCAGAAGGGCATTCGTTGTGTTAAGAGTTAACATCCTTCTGGCTCTCAGCAGACCATGATTATAAATAAAAGTAATACAGAGAGTGCGAGCATACTGGAGGGAGAGCTAGAGAGAGAGAAAGAGAGAGAGAGAGAGAGAGAGAGTGAGAGAGCAGTGGCACACAGAGACACAATGACTTTCTAAACATCCTGCATCCCCCGAGTATAATACAGGGTGCTACCAAAAAGCAATGTCTTCTTGCCCGAACATGGAATTTAATGATCTGGTCTTGCAGGAAGCAATGACTAACTGGACAGAGTCACAAGTGACTGAAGAGACATGTCGAATCAGGGTCAGGCGGTCTCAGATTTTGACTGATGCATTGAGAGCCTTCAGGTCTTCCCTATTGAAAGCCAGGTCTGGGATTTGTGTTCAATTCCTTGGGAACCGGAGATTGACACTGGGGGTTGACAAGGGAGTTCGCCACACTCCTTCTACCCCTACTTAGAGATAGCATGTATAAATAGCCACCGCAAAATAATTAAGGGGGGCTATTTTTTTAAGGTATTAAGAAATCAAATACCTTCCAACAATTTCACCACTTCAAACTGACCAGAAATATGAGGGCAATCCAAGTGAAAAGCAATTTGCAGAATGGCTTCTACAGGTAGAAGGTACATATCACGCTGAAACTGACTCACTTCCAGCTCAATCCATTATCCTTCCATCCTCTGTTAACACCAAAGACATTGTGAAGGACATTGTGGAACAAGAAGCAATCCTGACACCAAAAAACGATGCCACATTCATAATGAATCAGAAAAAAATTCCTGAGAATACAGCAGTCTACTACAGTACAGACACAATAATCAACAGATGACTGTTCAGATGTTCTCAACTATCCAACATAGTTTGTAAACTCCATGACATCATGAGGACTACCACTGCATACAGTAAACTACAATTGAAAAAGGGAGCAATTATGATGGATTGTATAATGGAACAGGATTGAAAATTTGTAATTTGTACAATAATGTCATAGATGCACAAGTGTTGACAACAGGCACATGTATTGTGAAACGTGAGAATTGCTGGCATCAATTGACATGTCGTTTAGACTTTTGACTGTGAAAACAAATGGAGGTGGCCTTTGTGGGTTTGTCGTTCATTATGTCAGTGAGTCAAGTATATTGACATTGTTTTGATTGCTCATATTTCTGAAATATTGAATATTGACTGTTTATATTTCAAATCATATGTATGCCCACATTGTAAAGGAGTCAATCTGTATTTGTTTATACTTTATACTACATGTATTGAATATTGACTGTTCATATTTGAAATCATATGTATGCGCATATTGTAAAGGAGTCAATCTGTATTTGTTTATACTTTATACTACATGTATTGAATATTGACTGTTTATGTTTCAAATCATATGTATGCGCACATTGTAAAGGAGTCAATCTGTATTTGTTTATACTTTATACTACATGTATTGAATATTGACTGCTCATGTTTGAAATTATATGTATGTGTGCACTGTAATGCTAATAATTCCTAATAGTGATTATGAGACAAGTGTTGTTATCCTGCACGAAGGAACAAATAATCTCAAAGGTGGTTTTTGGTCCAAAGAGGGAAAACATTATCTGAACCTGTACCAATGTGCAAAGGAAAGTATTCGATCGGCAGTTATTATTTTTTCATTTATTTTACCTCGCTGGGACTCTGAGGAACTTCATCAGCAATCTCTGTACTTTAATAGTAGCCTCGTCAAGTTATCTTGCCAGTGGATCGATTGTCAAATATTAAAATAAATTACTCAGGAATTTGACTTCGCTGATGATTTATTTTCAGTTGATGGCTTGCATCTAAATTTCCAGAAGCATCTAAAACTCCAGCAAAACTTTATTACTTTATGAAAATAATATGGAAATCAATTCAGTTTGAATTGAAATAGCTTGTATAATGCATGATAATACATGGCTTTTGGATATAATAGGTCAAATGATTTATGCAATATTTTTTTGAATGATGTATCCAATTCTTAATGGAAATGCCAATAGCCGTCTTGTTCTTGTTCTTTGTTTATATGGATAATGGTTTTATTGTTATCAAATGTATGCTTTGGTTTATTTTGACAGCTAAAATCCAGAACTACGGGGGAAGTCCACCTACCGCTACAGGAGGTTAGGATGCTGCCCTCAACATCATGTTTGGGATGGAAGTCCTCCAGACTCATTCGTTAACAGGAGGCAAATGCAATGCCCCAAAAAGAGGAAGCAAAGAGGAAGCGAAGAGACCTGCACTTGCAGCAGACAAGCTGGCAGCAATAAGATGTAAGTAAAGTCAACCTCGTGTAAGTCATTTGTTGAAAAGTCGACCAAGTCAATGCCCTTATGGATCGATGCATGATCGAACAAGTACTGTTCACAATTCCTGTTCTGTATTTTGATGGATCTCTTAAAGGGGAAGTCCAGACAATTTCTGAAAAATTAGAGCAAAAAGCTAATCAAATTCCAGCTACAATATGGTGTCAGTTTTAATTCTCAACTCTGTTCTGATTATTATTAAGAATCAATTTAGTGTCATTAATTCAACAAGGAATTATCGAATTTCTCC